AGGGCTAGGCTGATTGTATTGAGGGGGGCACGGGTGGCCCAGTAGTCTAAGGCCCCGCGATTCGCTGTGCAGAGTTGCGTCCCTTGGGCACGCCAGAAACCTATGATTGTGGGTTCGAATCCCGGTTGGCCCCGATTATGTTTCTAGGTTTGTCAGCACAATACCCGTGCTCGTGGGTTTCACCGAAGTGGTAAACGTCTGAGACCTGCATCACTTGGGGCTTTCCTCCTACATTAAGCTGACACGCCGCGATATAACTGGAATACTGTTAAAAGCGGCGTTAACCCCAACTCACTCACTCACTCACTATTGTATTGAGGGCTTACATGAGTCTAGGGGTTTGCAGTGTACTGTCTGTAAAGATAAAAGCTGAAATAAAACATCTAAAATATCTAACTAATATATACAAATACTTATAACTTGACTTGGCCACATAAAGTCTGGAGTGACTAGCCAGTTATCTTCCAGTAAATCACATATATAATACACATTAAATTGGCAGAAAGAGCTGTTGAGTAGGGATTTACCATCCACCAACCCCCGTCATGTGATCGCATGTATTATTATTCAGACATCGACTTGCATGTACATAAAATTGAGTTTGTAACGTAAACGGTTGTTTCATATTGGATTTCACACTCGTAATTAAACCTGGCCGGAGCAGTATCTGTTACGTGAGTGCCTGTAGCTACTAGTTTATGACCATATGTCTATAAAGATGAATATCGCATGTATGAGTGTTTCATTGGCAGCTGTGATCACTCCATGTAACATAATCATACATCAGTTTGCATTTGTTACATAATCCAAGGTTAACCATTACGCCCTCATGCAGCACACGTAATTCGTCTGTACAATCTTCAATTACACGATACGCTCATACAGCACACGTAATTCGTCTGTACAATCTTCCATTACACAATACCCTCATGCAGCACACGTAATTCGTCTGTACAATCTTCCATTACACGATACGCTCATGCAGCACACGTAATTCGTCTGTACAATCTTCAACCACACGATACGCTCATGCAGCACACGTAATTCGTCTGTACAATCTTCAACCACACGATACCCTGATGCAGCACACGTTATTCGTCTGTACAATCTTCCATTACACGATACTCTCATGCAGCACACGTAATTCGTCTGTACAATCTTCAACCACACGATACCCTGATGCAGCACACGTTATTCGTCTGTACAATCTTCCATTACACGATACTCTCATGCAGCACACGTAATTCGTCTGTACAATCTTCCATTACACGATACACTCATGCAGCACACGTAATTCGTCTGTACAATCTTCAACCACACGATACCATCATGCAGCACACGTAATTCGTCTGTACAATCTTCCATTACACAATACCCTCATGCAGCACACGTAATTTGTCTGTACAATCTTCCATCACACAATACCCTCATGCAGCACACGTAATTCGTCTGTACAATCTTCCATTACACGATACGCTCATGCAGCACACGTAATTCGTCTGTACAATCATCAACCACACGATACCATCATGCAGCACACGTAATTCGTCTGTACAATTTTACACGATACGCTCATGCAGAACACGTAATTCGTCTGTACAATCTTCCATCAGACGATACCCTCATGCAGCACACGTAATTCGTCTGTACAATCTTCCATCACACGATACGCTCATGCAGCACACGTTATTCGTCTGTACAATCTTCAACCACACGATACGCTCATGCAGCACACGTAATTCGTCTGTACAATCTTCCATTACACGATACTCTCATGCAGCACACGTTATTCGTCTGTACAATCTTCCATCACACGATACGCTCATGCAGCACACGTTATTCGTCTGTACAATCTTCAACCACACGATACGCTCATGCAGCACACGTTATTCGTCTGTACAATCTTCAACCACACGATACGCTCATACAGCACACGTTATTCGTCTGTACAATCTTCAACCACACGATACCATCATGCAGCACACGTAATTCGTCTGTACAATCTTCCATTACACAATACCCGCATGCAGCACACGTAATTCGTCTGTACAATCTTCAACCACACGATACCATCATGCAGCACACGTTATTCGTCTGTACAATCTTCCATCACACGATACTCTCATGCAGCACACGTAATTCGTCTGTACAATCTTCCATCACACGATACCATCATGCAGCACACGTTATTCGTCTGTACAATCTTCCATCACACGATACTCTCATGCAGCCCACGTAATTCGTCTGTACAATCTTCCATCACACAATACCCTCATGCAGCACACGTAATTCGTCTGTACAATCTTCCATCACACGATGCTCTCATGCAGCACACGTAATTCGTCTGTACAATCTTCCATCACACGATGCTCTCATGCAGCACACGTTATTCGTCTGTACAATATTACACGATACGCTCATGCAGCACACGTAATTCGTCTGTACAATCTTCCATCACACGATGCTCTCATGCAGCACACGTTATTCGTCTGTACAATCTTCAACCACACGATACCCTGATGCAGCACACGTTATTCGTCTGTACAATCTTCCATTACACGATACTCTCATGCAGCACACGTAATTCGTCTGTACAATCTTCCATCACACAATACCCTGATGCAGCACACGTTATTCGTCTGTACAATCTTCCATCACACGATACCCTGATGCAGCACACGTTATTCGTCTGTACAATCTTCCATCACACGATACTCTCATGCAGCCCACGTAATTCGTCTGTACAATCTTCCATCACACAATACCCTCATGCAGCACACGTAATTCGTCTGTACAATCTTCCATCACACGATGCTCTCATGCAGCACACGTAATTCGTCTGTACAATCTTCCATCACACGATGCTCTCATGCAGCACACGTTATTCGTCTGTACAATATTACACGATACGCTCATACAGCACACGTTATTCGTCTGTACAATCTTCCATCAGACGATACCCTCATGCAGCACACGTAATTCGTCTGTACAATCTTCCATCACACGATACCCTCATGCAGCACACGTAATTCGTCTGTACAATCTTCCATCACACGATACCCTCATGCAGCACACGTAATTCGTCTGTACAATCTTCCATCACACGATACCCTCATGCAGCCCACGTAATTCGTCTGTACAATCTTCCATCACACAATACCCTCATGCAGCACACGTAATTCGTCTGTACAATCTTCCATCACACGATGCTCTCATGCAGCACACGTTATTCGTCTGTACAATATTACACGATACGCTCATACAGCACACGTTATTCGTCTGTACAATCTTCAACCACACGATACCATCATGCAGCACACGTAATTCGTCTGTACAATCTTCCATTACACGATACGCTCATGCAGCACACGTAATTCGTCTGTACAATCATCCATCACACGATACGCTCATGCAGCACACGTAATTCGTCTGTACAATCTTCAACCACACGATACCATCATGCAGCACACGTAATTCGTCTGTACAATATTACACGATACGCTCATGCAGAACACGTAATTCGTCTGTACAATCTTCCATCACACGATACCCTCATGCAGCACACGTAATTCGTCTGTACAATCTTCCATTACACGATACTCTCATGCAGCACACGTTATTCGTCTGTACAATCTTCCATCACACGATACTCTCATGCAGCACACGTTATTCGTCTGTACAATATTACACGATACGCTCATACAGCACACGTTATTCGTCTGTACAATCTTCAACCACACGATACCATCATGCAGCACACGTAATTCGTCTGTACAATCTTCCATTACACAATACCCTCATGCAGCACACGTAATTCGTCTGTACAATCTTCCATTACACGATACGCTCATGCAGCACACGTAATTCGTCTGTACAATCATCCATCACACGATACGCTCATGCAGCACACGTAATTCGTCTGTACAATCTTCAACCACACGATACGCTCATGCAGCATACGTAATTCGTCTGTACAATATTACACGATACGCTCATGCAGAACACGTAATTCGTCTGTACAATCTTCCATCAGACGATACTCTCATGCAGCACACGTAATTCGTCTGTACAATCACCCATCACACGATTCGCTCATGCAGCACACGTAATTCGTCTGTACAATCTTCAACCACACGATACCATCATGCAGCACACGTAATTCGTCTGTACAATCTTCCATTACACGATACTCTCATGCAGCACACGTAATTCGTCTGTACAATCTTCAACCACACGATACCCTCATGCAGCACACGTTATTCGTCTGTACAATCTTCCATTACACGATACGCTCATGCAGCACACGTAATTCGTCTGTACAATCTTCCAATACCCGATGCGCTCATGCAGCACACGTAATTCGTCTGTACAATCTTCCATTACGCGATATCATCATGCAGCACACGTAATTCGTCTGTACAATCTTCCATTACGCGATATCATCATGCAGCACACGTAATTCGTCTGTACAATCTTCCATTACACGATACGCTCATGCAGCACACGTAATTCGTCTGAACAATCTTCCAATACACAATACGCTCATGCAGCACACGCAATTCGTCTGTACAATCTTCCATTACACGATACCCTCATGCAGCACACATAATTCGTCTGTACAATCTTCCATTACACGATACTCTCATGCAGCACATGTAATTCGTCTGTACATCTTCCATCACACGATACTCTCATGCAGCACACGTTATTCGCCTGTACAACCTGTGCTTGATATTGCATAACGCCAATTGTCATACAAGTTTTTCAAATCTGTGCCCAAACTTGGTCATAACGAACCGAACATGCCGATAAAATTCAATTTGGCTCTCATTTAGAGTTGCATACTGTAATAAATATATTCTGAAATAGATTGGTGTCGTCTTTCATACCAATGACACACACAACAGCCGGTGTGCATATTTCATCTTGTGCATATCAAGCACCTCATGATATTCGAACTTCTCCAGACTATGTGCTGGGACAGACGATAGCTTTTGAACGGAGTCTTCTGTGACACTCGACTAACTGTGTACATAAATCTCAACCGAAGGCATTGTACCAAAGGTATGTAGCAAACTACAATTTTCAGATTTTTATGACACTGACGTACGACGCCTAATATTTTGTCTTTCAAGTTTTGAGGGGAAAGATAGAAACGGGCATTGCCTAAAAGTCGGGCCGGGCCGGGCCAGGACGGGCCAAAGTGTTATTGGCTAATTACTTCATTATCGGCGATCATATCTACATATTATTGATGCAACATACACACATGACACTACTGAACAATCACCAACCCAAAACGTGCACCATAATTAAGTAATTCGGAGTAAATCACTTGAAAACTAGAAAGTGGAGCCATGTGTTAGCGTCGCTGATCTAGATAACATGTCAAAGAGCAATCGTTAAACGAAGTAAGATTTGACACGTATCAAATACTTCTAGCTATCGTGATACGAATTTCCATCTGTCGGCATAGAGTTTATATTTATAGGATAGCACTTCATAGATTAGTGTTATATCTACCTATACACCACTTTATAATGCCACAGATCGCAGAATCTATAGAAAACAAGGGGCTCAAAGTGAAGCCCTTTTCCCTCTACATTCTCAACATAGTCTCTATCAGAAGTGTTTGGCATGTGTTGGGTCCGACTTGGCCCGGGCGGTCAAAATCAACTTTAAACACACAGATGTATCTTCAACACCTGCATAACTGTTTATTCACACGTGGTGTGGTAGATCGTAATTGACCGAGAGCAGGTATTCTAGAATCATCTGAAAATAATGCCGACACTGTAATTAGATACAACGTACTAATGAGAATATGAGAATTATCATAAGAAGGCTGTTGTTATTTCTGAACTGTTACCATTTTCATACCACAAGTGGCAATGCATTTAAAAGTTGCTTTAGTGTCATAATATTCACTCAGGTTTTCCTCAATCGCCTGTAAACATCGCACCGCATATAATGAAATAATTATTTCGAGATTTCGTTAGAATGTGAGATATTCAGCTAGACGTTATGCAATGAAAGACGAATCGGGTTTTTCCCCCATTAAAATACGCGCGTGTGTACCTGTATATTGCATATCTAGTGTCACTTAATTTCCCAGTGTGATGTATCAATGAGACATAAAATGGGAAATGAAAAAGAAACAAACTAAACTTTAATTCGTTGGAAAATAACGCCAATGAATTGGTGTACACGCGCATGAATTCGTATGATAAACTGTCAAAACGTTTTGAGAGATAAGGCCGGGTTCATTAAAGATCGTTGCAATATTTAAAAAAGGTGAAATTTGTAAAACTTCTGCAAAGGAAACACCCAACCAAAGGCCCTTTTTAAATAGTAATGTGATGATATAATACAAAGTGTGTTTCACATGATACAATATACTTTGTAAACAATTAGTTATTTCTTTAAAGGGACTGACGAAAACATGGGCGAAATATTTTAATAACGCCAAAAATTAGTTGAATTAAGTTAAAATGAGTTGAATCATGTGTCATGCTTATAATCCCTTAATGTATTTGCGAAACTAAAACTGTTGAGCAAAGGAAAATATTCTTTTTCTCGCCCATGGACGAAATATTTCAATATCGCTATAAAATCGTTGAATTAAGTTAAAATGAGTTAAATTTTGTGTCATGATACATGAAATAAATAAATTTATGTATTTGCGAAACAAAAACATGAGTTTTAAGTAAAGGAACATATTCTCGCCCATGGGCCAAACCTTTTTCTTGCCCATGGGCGAAATATTTCAATATCGCTATAAAATCGTTGAATTAAGTTAAAATGAGTTAAGTTTTGTGTCATGATACTTGAAAGATATACATATATGTATTTGCGAAACAAAAACATGAGTTTTGAGTAAAGGAAAATATTTTCGCCCATGGGTAAAACCTCTTTCTTGCCCATGGGCGAAATATTTTGATATATCGCTATAAAATTTGTTGAATTAAGTTAAAATGAGTTGAATCATGTGTCATGCTTATAATCCCTTAATGTATTTGCGAAACTAAAAATGTTGATCAAAGGAATATATTCTTTTTCTCGCCCATGGACGAAATATTTCAATATCGCTATAAAATCGTTGAATTAAGTTAAAATGAGTTACATTTTGTGTCATGATACTTGAAATAAATAAATTTATGTATTTGCGAAACAAAAACATGAGTTTTAAGCAAAGGAACATATTCTCGCCCATGGGCCAAACCTTTTTCATGCCCATGGGCGAAATATTTCAATATCGCTATAAAATCGTTGAATTAAGTTAAAATGAGTTAAGTTTTCTGTCATGATACTTGAAAGATATACATGTATGTATTTGCGAAACAAAAACATGGGTTTTGAGCAAAGGAAAATATTCTCGCCCATGGGTTAAACCTCTTTCTTGCCCATGGGCGAAATATTTTAATATATCGCTATAAAATTAGTTGAATTAAGTTAAAATGAGTTGAATCATGTGTCATGCTTATAATCCCTTAATGTATTTGCGAAACTAAAAATGTTGAGCAAAGGAATATATTCTTTTTCTCGCCCATGGACGAAATATTTCAATATCGCTATAAAATCGTTGAATTAAGTTAAAATGAGTTAAATTTTGTGTCATGATACTTGAAATAAATAAATTTATGTATTTGCGAAACAAAAACATGAGTTTTAAGTAAAGGATTAATTCTCGCCCATGGGCCAAACCTTTTTCTTGCCCATGGGCGAAATATTTCAATATCGCTATAAAATCGTTGAATTAAGTTAAAATGAGTTAAGTTTTGTGTCATGATACTTGAAAGATATACATATATGTATTTGCGAAACAAAAACATGAGTTTTGAGTAAAGGAAAATATTCTCGCCCATGGGTAAAACCTCTTTCTCGCCGATAGGCGAAATATTTTGATATATCGCTATAAAATTAGTTGAATTAAGTTAAAATGAGTTGAATCATGTGTCATGCTTATAATCCCTTAATGTATTTGCGAAACTAAAAATGTAGAGCAAAGGAATATATTCTTTTTCTCGCCCATGGACGAAATATTTCAATATCGCTATAAAATCGTTGAATTAAGTTAAAATGAGTTACATTTTGTGTCATGATACTTGAAATAAATAAATTTATGTATTTGCGAAACAAAAACATGAGTTTTTAGTAAAGGAACATATTCTCGCCCATGGGCCAAACCTTTTTCATGCCCATGGGCTAAATATTTCAATATCGCTATAAAATCGTTGAATTAAGTTAAAATGAGTTAAGTTTTCTGTCATGATACTTGAAAGATATACATGTATGTATTTGCGAAACAAAAACATGAGTTTTGAGTAAAGGAAAATATTCTCGCCCATGGGTAAAACCTCTTTCTTGCCCATGGGCGAAATATTTTGATATATCGCTATAAAATTAGTTGAATTAAGTTAAAATGAGTTGAATCATGTGTCATGCTTATAATCCCTTAATGTATTTGCGAAACTAAAAATGTTGATCAAAGGAATATATTCTTTTTCTCGCCCATGCGCGAAATATTTCAATATCGCTATAAAATCGTTGAATTAAGTTAAAATGAGTTAAATTTTGTGTCATGATACTTGAAATAAATAAATTTATGTATTTGCGAAACAAAAACATGAGTTTTAAGTAAAGGAATAATTCTCGCCCATGGGCCAAACCTTTTTCTCGCCCATGGGCGAAATATTTCAATATCGCTATAAAATCGTTGAATTAAGTTAAAATGAGTTAAGTTTTGTGTCATGATACTTGAAAGATATACATATATGTATTTGCGAAACAAAAACATGAGTTTTGAGTAAAGGAAAATATTTTCGCCCATGGGTAAAACCTCTTTCTCGCCGATGGGCGAAATATTTTAATATATCGCTATAAAATTAGTTGAATTAAGTTAAAATGAGTTGAATCATGTGTCATGCTTATAATCCCTTAATGTATTTGCGAAACTAAAAATGTTGATCAAAGGAATATATTCTTTTTCTCGCCCATGGACGAAATATTTCAATATCGCTATAAAATCGTTGAATTAAGTTAAAATGAGTTACATTTTGTGTCATGATACTTGAAATAAATAAATTTATGTATTTGCGAAACAAAAACATGAGTTTTAAGTAAAGGAACATATTCTCGCCCATGGGTCAAACCTTTTTCATGCCCATGGGCGAAATATTTCAATATCGCTATAAAATCGTTGAATTAAGTTAAAATGAGTTAAGTTTTCTGTCATGATACTTGAAAGATATACATGTATGTATTTGCGAAACAAAAACATGAGTTTTGAGTAAAGGAACATATTCTCGCCCATGGGTAAAACCTCTTTCTTGCCCATGGGCGAAATATTTTGATATATCGCTATAAAATTTGTTGAATTAAGTTAAAATGAGTTGAATCATGTGTCATGCTTATAATCCCTTAATGTATTTGCGAAACTAAAAATGTTGATCAAAGGAATATATTCTTTTTCTCGCCCATGCGCGAAATATTTCAATATCGCTATAAAATCGTTGAATTAAGTTAAAATGAGTTAAATTTTGTGTCATGATACTTGAAATAAATAAATTTATGTATTTGCGAAACAAAAACATGAGTTTTAAGTAAAGGAACATATTCTCGCCCATGGGCCTGCCAATGGGCCAAACCTTTTTCTCGCCTATGTGCGAAATATTTCAGTTTCGCTATAAATTAGTTGAATTAAGTTAAAATGAGTTAGATTTTGTGTCATGATAATTGAAATAAATAAATTTATGTATTTGCGAAACAAAAACATGAGTTTTAAGTAAAGGAACATATTCTCGCCCATGGACCAAACCTTTTTCTTGCCCATGGGCTAAATATTTCAATATCGCTATAAAATCGTTGAATTAAGTTAAAATGGGTTAAGTTTTGTGTCATGATACTTGAAAGAAATAAATTTATGTATTTGCGAAACAAAAACATGAGTTTTAAGTAAAGGAACATATTCTCGCCCATGGGCCAAACCTTTTTCTTGCCCATGGGCTAAATATTTCAATATCGCTATAAAATCGTTGAATTAAGTTAAAATGACATAAGTTTTGTGTCATGATACTTGAAAGATATACATATATGTATTTGCGAAACAAAAACATGAGCTTTAAGCGAAGGAAAATATTCTCGCCCATGGGCCAAACCTTTTTTCTCGCCCATGGGCGAAATATTTCAGTATCGCTATAAAAAAGTTGAATTAAGTTAAAATTATTTGCGAAAGAAAAACATGAGTTTTAAGTATAGATACATTTTCTCGCCCATGGGCCTGCCCATGGGCCTACCCATGGGCCAATCTTCGCCCATCGGCAGGCCCATGGGCGACATAGGGTAAATATTGATTTTTTGAACAATTTATTTTTCATTTTTTCTTCCTTGGTATGTTCCCATGAAAACAGCATGTTTAATTTTGTAAATACCTTTGACCGAGACTGGGCACAGACAGTAGAGTTTCTGGACTTTTGGGTTTCCATAATTAAAATGGGACGTGTTTTTGTTATTTGGATACCGTTTGCTTCTAGGTTTGGTGTTTGTTTTTTTAGTTCTTTGTAGTTTAAGTCTTCCCTGACGTATATGATTAGGCCGCCCCCGGCTCTTCCTGGGTTTGTTTTGGCTCGGTCAGTTCTTATTGAGTTATAGTTTGGTAGGGTGAATTTAGATCAAGTAGAGAATGTAGTTTCCTGTATACAGACTATGTGTGAACCTTTGTCTCGTTTGAATTTAGCTTTTAATTCCTGGCCTTGGGAGGCTAATCCGTTGGCGTTCCACTGAAATATATTTAGTCCTTCCATTTTTGGGGATGAGAGGTTGTTAGTTTTTTTAAGTTTTAGGTTGTGTTTAATTGGTAGCTTCCCTTAGTTGGAGGAGAAATAACTCAAAGGAGAGAGTTGTGAGTTTTAGTTTTTGCGCTACTGAGTGAAAAGCTTTAGTACTAGCATTTGGTGAGCTTTGCTTATGCATGTAGGCCAGGAGTAGTGTGAGGTTATTAAGAGTTTTAGTGCTAGTTAATTGAGGAGTTTTGCGCGTGAAGTTTTTGTTTGCTTTAGGGGCTGAGAAGGTTATTTCATTTATTTCCTCGGTGGAAGAATACTCGTCTTCGTCGTTTAGGTTGGTTTTTATTGTTTGAGTTTCCATTGGGGAGGCTTGTGGATGTGTTTGTGGTGTGGAGGGTTGAGTTTGTGCTTGCGTGTTGGGTGTAGCTGTGGTTTCCTCAGTGTTTGTGTTTTGTTGTTGTGCTTGCTTGTGGGGAAGTGTTGTTGCCTTGTGGGCTGTAGAGTGTTTGGCTGAGGGTCGTTGTGTGTCTGTGGTTTTGCTGTTTGCTTTGCATGCGGGTGTTGATGTTATGGGAGTGTGTGGTATGGGGGAGTTTGTAGGTAGCTGTGTGAGGTTATCTGTGGATGTGGTGGGTGCGGTTTCTATGTGGTTGCCCCAGAGGGAATCCGGGTGTTGGTGTGTGGTGTTTGGGTGTGGTGTGGGGAGGAGAGGTTTGGATGTAGGTGGTGCATATTTTCTTGTTTGGGTTTTGGCCGAATCTATGTTTATGCGTTTGTTGGCCTTTTGTGTTAGGGCATGTCTGTGCGGGCACTGGTTTGAGAGTGATGTATGTTTTATGCATTTGCAATGGATGCACCAGGGAGAGCAAGTGCCTGGGCAATCGGTTTGGGCGCATTTATTACATTTAGTTTTTTTGAATGTACATTGGGTGGCCGTGTGGTTATATCTAAGGCAGTTAGAACATTGTTTGACCTGTTTGATGTATAGTTTAACTTCTAGTTTAGTGTGGGCACCGAAAAAGATGTGTTTAGGGGCGTCAGGAAAGGAAGCAGTTTCTTGGAAGTTTACAATAACGATTGAGGCAGGGACCGTTTTGCCGTTTCTATTTGGGGTTGAGGATATTGATTTGTGTTTTTTCTTCTTGGGTGTAGAGTTCTAGGTCCTCCGCTGTTTCTCTAGGGTTTACTCTTATTACCCCTCGGGTGAATTGCTGCCAATTTGGAATTTGTTTTGTTACGGTTACGTGAAATATTTGTACTATTTTTTTTAGCTGCATTGAAGGAATGCAATATGAGACACTAAAGTGTTATATAGGTAGATATAATACTAGGCTATAGATGTAAAGTATGTGTTGTAATTTTAGAAGCGCTTTGACACTTATTAACACGTGTCGTCAGTCCTATGACATTCGCGAATATCCACTTGCAGCAAACATCCTGTGTTGGTTTAACATGAATTAGTAAAGGTTAATTAGGGATGCCAAACACGTTAATTTATGAAAGAAGAGTAGTCAAAACACCGTCAATTCCTGCCCAGGACATTACACCCCTACACGCTAAGGTCGGTGAGAAACCTTCTCATCAAAGAAAAGACACAGTCAGGACACTCTATGGACTCTCGGTATGTAGCTATAATTATCAGTTTATTACATTGCTGAAGATGCATTTTGATTCAAACTCAATTAAATGAGCAAAACTATACGTTTCTGGACAATTGAGATCTGCCTATATATGCACGTTTCGTTTTATATTTCTGCAATCCATTTTTAGTATTACCCGCTGGCCCGGCCCGGCCCGGCCCGACTTTTCTTGGCCCGACTTTTAGGCAATCCCATAGAAACAGGGTGTCACGTTTCGTTCCAGAACATAACTCGTAATCGTTTAATAGTTCATGCTAAAACTTTGAATTATTTAAAGACAAGTCCAAATGAGGGTTGGGTTTGTTTCCAGTGCCAAATTCATTATGTCTCCAAATGTAGTCGCTGGTGAATGACGAGAACAGGTGCCTGTTGTTTTCAAATACATTTTAGATTATTGCTTTTCTCGTGTATTTATTCGTCTTCGTGTTGTCTGTGATTAGATGCTTGACATGTGATGATTGTGAGGGTTTCACTGATGTAGTAAATGCACGAAGGACATAATTTGTTCTCGGTTTCTATAGGTGAGTCCGATGGTTGTTGTCCAGATATGATGCTCGAAACCTGATGTTTTGACCGGTAATCATAGCACGGATTCTGAACATCTAGTGAGATGCCATGATGCAAATGGGTAGATTATGTAAGTTATGGCAAAAGAAGACAATATACTATTGTGTGACAAATACTGAATGGCAATATCTGCATTGTCTGGGAACAATTCAAGTACTTGCACAAAATAATAACGGTAACGGTCAACGGGTCATTATCGAGTCCATACTGTTCCCATTACAATGAGTCATGACTAGTGTTATTGCACAGTCTGGAGAGATAATAACCGTAAAACAATAACAACACAACATCAACAAGGGTCGTAAAATGTACAAATTTATGGAGAATGTCTCCGAATAATTCTATTCTTCAGATCTCGATAATAATTGTGTGTAATTTGCCAAAGCATGTTTCTCTTCCCTATGTAGATCTATCGCCAGTACAACGATTTTCAAGGAAGGTATCTGCGTAACATAATGAATTTAGAAGGTCTTCTTGAAGGCCTAGGAGGCTTTGGTCGTTACCAAATCATTCTGACTATAACACTCGGCTACTCAAAGATAGTGGTTGTTCCCACTATGCTGATGATGACATTTGCTGGCGTTGAACCTGATTGGTGGTGTACATCACATGACATCAATCTCAGCCAATGGAACAGGAGTCATTTGAGCGGAAGTTATCAGAATTGCTCTTGGGATGGAACATGTGACAGGAAGTTCAGCGACGCCATGGTTACGGTTGTCTCAGAGGTAGGTCAGAATCATTACCCCTTGGTTGTGGTAAATACGGGATTAAAAGGTGGGACTTGCGAACTACGGTTATAACGAACAGCCGATAAAAGGACTACTGGGGTTCATTACATCAGAAGACGTTTGTAATCATGGCATGCATAACTATTTGTTTGAAAACGAGAATGGGTAAGTCAGAATTAACGAAATTTCGTTTATTACAAACAGAATCTTTACCCTTTGGAAGGTCACAGGGAAACATACGAGATCGAAAAGTGGAATTAGCGCATTAAGGCTTCAAAGTATTTCTATAAACTCTTGGTGATCACAATATCAGGAGATGTGTGCAGGCGTTACACCCATGTCTATTTGGTTGAAAATGAGAATGGATATTAAAGTGAGATGGGTTAAATGATGTTTGTAACATGTAAACTAAGACGTATCAATTTAAGGTGGAGGAATAGACTGAAGACGTGCAAGCCTACGGCGTTTAGTTAACGCGAGCCTGTGATCCGAAAGCCACGATCAGTATGCCGACAACCGGCTTCCACTCTTTACAGCCAGTTCCTTTACACAGCCGTAAATGTGCACCACAGGAACGAAAAGCATATTGAATGACTTCCATCCGTTGTACGATTTCGACTAGAAGCATTGGTGACGAAAGGTTTGCCAACTCAAAGCTTTTAACATATCTCATTAATTGCCCTAATGAAACAGAACCAATGTTTTAATCCTGACACAAATACAACGTCTAGACCTAGACTGGAAAAGGGGAAAAGACTCTCCATTCCATTCCAATGTGATGTTTTGAAACCACCTTTTATATTTTTGCACCTATTAGAACATATATACTGTGGCGGGCCGACCTGAATCAGTCATGTTTGAAGATACATCCCATCCTTAATTAAATCACTAGCTATGCTTATTGAAGGAATTCAAAGGACAATAGTCACAAATTGTTTATGTGATCTCAGTCAATAATAACCTCACATAATATAGAAAAGTTCATTGCGATTGGTTAATAAATGCATCTGCATGGCCATACCTTGACTCATTTTGTGACTACCACAGTTTAACGAGACAACCCTTTCCCTGATTTCAGTGGAACTTAATCTGCGTTAGATATGTTACTTGGAGCCCATTTTAGCTGCTTGCAGCTATATTTAAAATGTAAACCAACACTACACTTTGTACCCACCACATCATACAATTATCCTTGTTCCTGATTTCAGTGGAACTTAGTCTGCGATAAGAGTTGGGTCAGCAATGCAATAATATCTATCCAGATGGTCGGGGTGCTTATCGGATGCATCATTGCTGGCTATTGTGCAGACAGATATGGCCGGAAGAACGTTTTCTACAGTGGACTACTTTGGCTCTTTCTTGGAAATATCGTATCAGCTTTTTCCGTTTCCTGGATCATGTTTACAGTTGTGAGAACATTTCTTGGCATGGCGTGTGGTCTCATATTGGGTACTTTATATCTGTACCAGATAGAATTTGTTGGTACGAAGTGGCGGGTTTTCATAGCATCACTTCCCGAGTGGCCACTGGGGATGGTGATATTGTGTCTTCTCGCGAAATGGCTTCACAACTGGAAATGGCTTCATCTAGCAACGGCGGCTTTGACATTTCCATACCTCTTTACGTGGTTGTAAGTAATGGTAATTAAACGCAAAAACTATTAACTTTTTACGTTTTCAATTCAAAAGAATATTTGAGCAAACACGTGTTCAAAGTTATGACATGTGTCGCAATTGGCTTATGGTTAATATACACCAGGGGTTATGTCACCAGTTACTATTTATTAAACAAATGCTTAACTTTGTGCCAGAATAATTTCGCTTGATGACTATGAAAATTACATAAGTATAAGTGGTCCAAACAAAAAAGGGCAATCTGCATTTGAATTTAAAGTGCAAGAAGGAGATCGCGATTAGGAATACCATTATATTCTGTAAGCAATCTACAATATCAAAACTCACAATTGTTGTCCTGGCATGCAGTAAGACTGATCTCGCATTATTAGATACAGCTTCCGTTTTTAGTTTCGCGCCAGAATCTGTTCGCTGGCTAGTTGTGAAGGGTCGCCTCGAGGATGCGAGAACAGTCATCCGAAAGATGGCGGAACTCAACATGAAGCCAATGCCGGACACGTCCATTTTGGAGCTGATTGCAGAAGGGGAAAAGGCGGAGGGGGACAAAGCAAAGTGCTACAGTTATCTGGATCTGCTGAAGACAAAGGAACAAGCAACGAAAACAGTTATTTCTTGTTTTCTATGGTAAGGCAGACCTACCCCTTGCAGTATTCAGAAAACAACATCCCCTTATGGTGTTTTGACCTCATTGCTCCTCAGTGTAGTAAACCTTTGTGTGTTCTTTGATAAGCAGTACTTGTTGTAAATGTATAAAACAGATTGCATGATGTGGGGTATGTATACGTCAACCTTAGGTATATTTGGGACAATTTATTTTTTTCGATAAAATCCAAGCCCCACACACACAGAATATCAAATGATCGGCCCCAAACACCGATAACACCAATGGTATTTGTTATGCAACAGGGTACATAAATACTTTCAAATAATCATGATGTCATCTGGCAAATTATACAAGTGGGTTCTTCCCTGTTTTGGAAACATGTGACATGTAAACTAAGGTCAATCATTTGTTACAAATACTGGCTTTATAGCATTCGACAGCATCCACGTCAAAGAATTATGTTTACCATACTCTTGAACTTGAGGAAATGTTGGCTTCTATTTGAGACCGATGCCACGTTCATACTTTCTTGAGAGCTAAGTGTTCGACCATTTCATATTCGGGGCAGGCCAAGTGTTGTTTCTTTATTCTGGTAATTGTTTTATTGCTGTTGAATCGTAAAACACAATTTGTTGGGAATCGAAGCCAGAACATCACTGTGACGAGCGAAAGCTTTAATCACTAAGTGGAAGCTTCAACCATTACACCCATTATGCACGTAAGACGCACAGAGTATGTCAATTCAGAACAGCATAACTTTATTGTGATAAGGCTGTCGCTTAATGGACATTATTGACGTTCATCAAATGACATTCACTGCCCTTGGATCATTAGAATGGTGTAATCCTGCTTCCTCCCAAGCAGTAAACGAAACTAATGCCCTGGTGATCAATAACTGAAAGAATGTTATATGGTTATAAGGCTATAAGCCGCTGTTGGTTCTAATATGTTAACATTTTGGCAAATTGTGTGAGTGGCGCGTGCTTCCGGTAGGACAGGAAATGCTTGCCCTTTTTGCTAAAACCTTGTGTCCTCAACGGATTTTAGTGAACCATTCATACAGTTTCCACCTGCATTGTGCCTTTACGGTCAATGGAATCTGTTTCGGCTAATAATCGACACAGGTTATTGTCTGTCGCTGACGTTGTATAATTATATTGCTTTCTTCCACAGGCTTGCCTGTTCGGTAGTATATTATGCTATTACCTTCGGCTTGAAGGATCTCTCGGGGGACATTTACTTCAACATGCTTCTGATGGCCCTCACTGAATTCCCGGCAACGCCTTGCATCCTCCTCATCTCCGTGTGAGTGTGCTACTGTTGGGTAGTTTCTAGAGATTTCAAGTGTTTTGCCCTGAAGATGTTTCCAGGAGACAACGCAGTATTGTGGATATACGTTCAGATATCAGTAAATAAAAGTCTCTGCAAAAAAGTCGATTGTACGATTCCGACTATACCATAAGCATGTGTTTATGAATCACTATCAAATAGTCATGATACTAGGTGTACGCGAAAAGGTGTCCCTATTCTGCCCTACAAGTGGCATCCGCCAAAACACATGCAAAGGCGAGTCAATTGTTCACCAAAAGAAAACACGGAAACGTAATTATGGTCAAAATAGGGAAATATTTTTTGTCACTGATGCAACCGACAACCAACCGATTAGCTTGTTGGGATGAGGCAGCATGTGTAATATGGAGAGGGGCAAGAGGCATCGTATGTTGGAATTATTTAAAGCCAAGCTGGTTGTTTTCTTTCTAACACAAATATTTTGATGTTGATCACCCTAGCAGTTGCTGATAAACCTCACTACAAAATTTGAGTTTCAGGCACAGTTTACTTGACCGAGATTGGAAATGGTCTGCATACTTTAGAACATTGGCGGCGATATATATAATATGCATATAGAAGGTTACCTTCATTAAAGTTGTACCCGTGAAGATCCTTGTTAGAATTGGTCTTCAACAATCCATGCTTGTCGTAAGAGGCGACGAACGGCCTCGGCTGATCAGGCTCGCTGCCTGGAAGGACATTTACCCACACAATGTTGTATGGGATCTTTGGACCGATTTGCGGCCAATGGATTTCGTAGCCAACAAAAAACATCGTAATCATATTGCGTCCTTGTATGTTACCCATATATGCAGGTGCATGTCTTATAATTCACATTCCAATATCTGATATATACCATACACTCGTACTGTCGTTACTAACAGGCTCGCTGACTTGGTTGATGCATGTCATCGTATCTCAATTACGTAGATCAATGCTCATGATGTAAATCACTGGATTTTCTGGTCCAGATTCGATAATTTACAGATCATCGTCCTACAGCTGGAATATTGCTGAGTGCGGCGTGAAACAACAAACAAACACTCATTAAAGATGTTAGTTGTGTATATGTATGAAGGATTCATCGTCTCAACATGTCTCACACTTTAGTGTGTATCGTCTGGTCAAAGGAATCACAGTGCCATTCATGGCCAGGGTTCTCATTGATTTCTTCATTACAGATTTGGAAGGCGGGTTGGGGTTGCTTCGTGCTTTTTGTTAACTGCTGCTGTTTGCTTTGGATTGGCTGCATCTGCAAGTGTAGGTACGATCAGCTTGTTCCATATATCTGATATAAGTAGTAACAGTTGTGATGGTGATTGTAGTAGTAGTAGTAGTAGTAGTAATAGTAGTAGTAGGAGGAGGAGGATTAGGATTAGTAGTAGTAGTAGTAGTAGTAGTAGGATTAGTAGTAGTAATAGTAGTAGTAGTAGGATTATTATTATTATTATTAGTAGTAGTAGTAGTAGTAGATACATCTACCGTCTTCAAGCGAGTGAGTGATGGACAATACCCTAGCAATGTACGTAAAACTTGTAATAATTATATGCAGGAATCATTAACTGTATAAGTTTATGTTTTTCTTTGATTTATGTATTTTCAGCACCTGCTGATGAGAAAGGAAATTACATCAACGCATGCGCATTTACTGGCAAATTTATAATAACTGTAGGGTGGTTGGTTGCCATGACTTTGTGTGCTGAACAGTTCCCTACAGTCATCAGGTAAACAATGTTCCCTACGGTCATCAGGTTAACAAAAGTTCCCTTTGCTCATCAGGTAAACAAAAGTTCCCTACGGTCATCAGGTAAACAAAAGTTCCCTACAGTCATCAGGTAGACAAAGTTGCCTACGGTCATCAGGTTAACAAAAGTTCCCTATGGCCATCAGGTAAACAATGTTCCCTGCGGCCATCAGGTAAACAAAAGTTCCCTACAGTCATCAGGTAGACAATGTTCCCTACAGTCATCAGGTAAACAATAATCCCTGCGGTCATCAGGTTAACAAAAGTTCCCTATGCTCATCAGGTAGACAATATTCCCTATGGTCATCAGGTTAACAAAAGTTCCCTATGGCCATCAGGTGAACAATGTTCCCTGTGGTCATCAGGTTAACAAAAGTTCCCTATGGTCATCAGGTTAACAAAAGTTCCCTATGGTCATCAGGTAAACACTATTCCCTGCGGGCACCAGGTTAACAATTTTCCCTACAGTCATCAGGTTAAAACAATGTTCCCTGCAGTCATCAGGTAAACAAAAGTTCCCTATGGCCATCAGGTAAACAATGTTCCCTGTGGTCATCAGGTTAACAAAAGTTCCCTATGGTCATCAGGTTAACAAAAGTTCCCTATGGTCATCAGGTAAACACTATTCCCTGCGGGCACCAGGTTAACAATTTTCCCTACAGTCATCAGGTTAAAACAATGTTCCCTGCAGTCATCAGGTAAACAAAAGTTCCCTATGGCCATCAGGTTAACAAAAGTTCCCTATGGTCATCAGGTAAACAATGTTCCCTGTGGTCATCAGGTAAACAATGTTCCCTGATGTCATCAGGTTAACAATGTTCCCTACAGTCATCAGGTAAACAAAAGTTCCCTATGGTCATCAGGTAAACAATATTCCCTGCGGTCACCAGGTTAACAATTTTCCCTGCAGTCATCAGGTTAAAACAATGTTCCCTGCAGTCATCAGGTAAACAAAAGTTCCCTATGGCCATCAGGTAAACAATGTTCCCTGTGGTCATCAGGTTAACAAAAGTTCCCTGTGGTCATCAGGTAAACAATGTTCCCTGTGGCCATCAGGTAAACAAAAGTTCCCTGCGGTCACCAGGTTAACAATTTTCCCTGCAGTCATCAGGTTAAGACAATGTTCCCTGCAGTCATCAGGTAAACAAAAGTTCCCAACGGTCATCAGGGAAACAATGTTTACTGCGGTCATCAGGTAAACAAAAGTTCAGTTTGGTCATCAGGTAAACAATGTTCCCTACAGTCATCAGGTAAACAATGTTCCCTGAAGTCATCAGGTAAACAATGTTCCCTGCGGTCATGAGGTTAACAAATGTTCCCAAAGGTCATCAAGTAAACAATGTTCCCTACAGTCATCAGGTAAACAAAAGTTCCGTACAGTCATCAGGTAAACAAAAGTTCCGTACAGTCATCAGGTAAACAAAAGTTCCGTACGGTCATCATGTAAACAAAAGTTCCCTGCGGCCATCAGGTTGTTACGTGTGGATTCACTAAACCGTTTTCATACATAAGAAGGAGAGATCACACAACAATTTAAAAACAATTTAATACTGGCAGTCTAATCAAGATTCATATTATTTACAAACAGCAAAAGCAAGTATCAATCACAATAAAAACAGTCTTACTTTATGATGAAAAATCACATCATTTCCAAACAAGATCCAGTGAATGTTTCCTGTAATCCATAATACACCATAGTTCACAAATTGCCGACATGGCATACACAATTAAAGTTTAAAATCTTGTCGACATGGCATGTCAGTTAACACCTCCAACCCGACCTGGGAACTGACCACTTTGTCTACCTGTTGAGCAATAGCCAAGCCACAATTGCATAACATCAGCCTTAACTTGGCTGTGAGCTTACCAGGGCTTACATATAGACAATGTGAAGTGAAGTGTGTAATTGGTCAGTGTTGATCACTGGCAATCTGTACACAAGCAACATGATATATGAAAAGGTAGGAATATACATTTCATGATAACAAAGTACATTAAATATATTCTACATATACGTATAGTAAATATACATGTATAATGGATTCTCATAACAAGGTAAACAATGTTCCCTGCGGTCATCAGGTTAACAATATTCCCTGCGGTCATCAGGTAAAACACTGTTCCCGGAAATGAAGCTATTTTTCAGATAACATCACGGTCACCACAGCATAGATCTACAGTGTCAAATATCATTGCCCGGTTGTTGCTACACCTAACAATGGAAGCGAATACTTTTTAAAACCATTTTAAACCTTCATTGAGTACGAATATGCTTGGAGGTCCGATTCATTCTGTTGATTAGGTACGGGTTGGTACGGGTTGGTACGGGTCCTCCAAAGTATACAAAGTACAGATCTCTGTGGGTAAGGATTGTTCCCCACATGGCTATTCCTACCTTAATGAGATTTTTGTTTATCTCATTGGTTTTATTAACATTACGTACCTTGACATCTAATATTCCAACAACCATTAACGACACGATACTTTATGCGTTAGTAGAAACATCTTATGTCTTTCATAGCCATTTTGAAACTTGAAGAATGTGAACACATGAACCATTTTACGGATAACCTTTTTTTTTAATTAACTTTGTAACGAGGTTTCAGGGCTACTGCTTGTGCATTCATAGGGGAAGTACCGAGTCAGAGTATCTGTGTTAATATATATCCATGCTGATTAATGTACAATGATAAATAAAACTGGGAAGACAAGCAAAACCCAAATTGATGCAAGCCCAAATCTGCCCCATCACATAGCCTTGTCAGTATCCCACACCAAATTCCCAATACCAGAGATTTCAGACCAGACACTTAGAAACATCCTTCAGTCCAATGGCAAAGGTCCCACTCGGTTGAGTGTGAATGAGATGACAAATGGATACACTTATATTGGAGAGACGTCACGCCCCACAGACACAATAATCAATGAACACTCTGTTGCAAAAGCGTGTTGCACAAAGTACAGCTCTGTTGCTAAGTTCGACATGAAATTTGCAGTTTCGGAACCCCTAGCCAGCAACAAATCCACAATATATCCGAGAAAGGAAACTCCAAGAAAATATAGAAATCCAAAGAAACAAACCAGTCATTAAAAAGGACAGCTAATTTCCTAATAATCTCCCCCTGTGGAAACATATCGTCTGTATATATCCAATGAAGAACCAAGACGCCCTGAAACTTACGGACAAGGACGGGCCGGAGTTACGTCCCTTGGGCGTTCCAGAAGCTTGTTATCGTGGATTCGAATCCCGATTCACCTTGATCATGTTTCTAGGTCAGCAGCGCACCCGTGTTCGTGGGTTTCCCCAAAGTTGTAAACGTCTGACATCTACATCACTTCGGGCTTTCCTCCCACATTAAGCTGACACGCCGTGATATAACTGGAATACTGTTGAAAGAGGTGTAAACCCAACTCACTCACTCACTCCATCCTACATCCACCCGGAAACGAAACAAACAATAAGGAAATCCTGATCTATAAAAAGTTTCATGTTTCTTTCCATATCACAGATACCACAATTTTCATGTAAAAAGAAATATTCAAGTACAAAAGGCAGTTCAGTAAATCGATGTGTATCTATCTATCTGATTTGAATAAAAAATAGATTCATAATATTATGTTTGTATCTCAAGAAACCTGGCCTTTGCTGCTCAGAATTCGGGTGCAAGAGTCGGTGGAATACTTGCAGGTCAAATTCTATCTCTTGTGAGTATCTAGATACAGGTCACGTGGTATATCGATTAAACTCTGCAGATAATTTGAGTTGGATCAGGAGTACCGGGGTTATATTAGTGAAAAAATCCATTGGAGATGGACCCGTGAAGATCCGGGGTAGAATAGGTCTTCAGCAACCCATGCTTGCTGTAAAAATGCGACTATGCTTGTCGTAAAAGGCGACTAACGGGACCGGGTGGTCAGGCTCGCTGACTTGGTTGATGCATGTCATCGATCCCAATTGCGTGGATCGATGCTTATGATATTAATCACTGGATTGTCTGGTCCAGACTCGATTATTTACAGACCGCCGTCAAACAGCTGGGATATTGCTGAGCGCGGCTTTAAACAACATACCAACCAAACAACCATTGGAGATGAAAGGATTTTTTCATATTTTAGTATTACTCAAAGCATGGGATGGATGAGGCCACCTTCTGCTGGCAGCCTACAGACCATAAGGTCATAACATTGATCAAGGCATAACAGTCGGAAGTCGGATTTTAAATGTCACTAATTCCCGCATCTTTAAACGAAAACCAAATGCCATCAGTCGAATATACTACTATATAGGATTTTATCGAGGGAAAAAAATTGTCCCCGAAATTTCTTAAAAATAATTATTTTGCTTCATATTGTTGGAAAAAAAGAATCTGGTCTCACCACCCAAAAAAATCCAAATATTGATGCATATTGAAGACATCAGCTGACACCTGTTTTGTTGAATCTGAAATGTTTCTACTTCAGGTCACATATACTCAACAACAAAAGTTCCTGTGACACCAATATTTTAGTGTATTTTTCAAACAAGTAAAGTTTGGTTTTCAATATTGTAGTACATGTATGGAATCAAGTCACAAAAACGCAACTGCTACAGAAAAGCATGCATTCCATGCAAAAGTTGACTTTTATGCAAGCCCCATGCATTACACTACCCAAGAATGGGTATGAAAACATGTGCGTTAACGGGATTCCATATGCATTGTTTAGCATCGTGCTGACAACAACCACTCAGAAAAACAACAAAATTACGCAATTATTCAACATTACGAAATGCCACGCCTGTCCCAAAATGAGCGCCTGCGAGCCATTGGTATGCTTGAAGCAGGATCGAGTCAACGTGATGTTGCAAGATAATTTAACGTCCACAGAAACACCATTTGGTGTTTATGGCAACGTTGGCAACAGACGAATGAAGTCAGAGACCATCCTCGGAGTGGCAGGCCACGCGTAACCAATAATCGACGAGACAACTAGATTCGAACAACACACCTACGAAATCGATTCCAGTCAGCAACAGTGACTGCAAGAAGCATCCCTGGCCTTCGACGAATATCTTCACAAACCGTACGTCGCCGCCTCAGATGTGCAGGGATTGTCGCCGGAAGACCCTCCAGACATCCCATTTTGACAGGAAACCATCATCAAGCACGTCTACAGTGCTGCAGACAGCGTCTACGTTGGACGGCCATGCAATGGGGACAAGTTCTATTCACTGACGATTCTCGTTTTCGCCTCAGCCACAGCGATTGACGGATTCGAGTGTACCGACGTCGAGGTGAACGTTACGTCAATCATGGTGTCATGGAAGAAGATCGGTTCGGGGGCGGCAGAGTTATGGTATGGGGTGGGATTACAGCAAGATAGTGGTAGAGGGAAATCTCAATGGACAGCGCTACCGCGACAAGATCATCGGCCCCTGTTGTTCTACCGTTTTTACCGTCATGGCCAAGGCATTATCTTTCAGCATGACAACGCCCGGCCTCATATTGCTCGATTTGTTCAGGATTCTCTTCAACAAAACAACATGAATGTCATCCTCTGGCCGGCTCGCTCCCCTGATCTCTCACCAATCGAGCACATGTGGGATGAGATGGATCGGCACCTTCGACGTCAACCACGTGCTCCACAGACACTCCAGGAACTTCGAAACATGCTCCAGCAGATATGGACAGATATCCCACAGGACTTTGTGCGCCGCCTGGTCCATTCCATGAGACGAAGATGCGTTGCTTGCATCGCAACCAGAGGTGGACACACACGCTATTGATTTGTAAATTGACATTTTGGCATGTTCATGTTTTTTTTATGAAATCACGCATTTTCTGAAGTCAGTATGACAAATGAAACCATTTGAACACTTACAGGAGTATTTTATCTGTTGCAAACCGAAATTGTTTCAGATTTGGTAAAAAACATAACTTTGCATTAAATCTTATTCAATGTCACAGGAACTTTTGTTGTTCAGTATATAAATAAGTGTTTCTGAGACAATTCGCCTATCGATGTTAAAAAAAATTGAGGGTATATTGTTTCAGTCGGATATTTTATGCTTCTTTCATACACTATTTGATTTTTTCAGGGTGGACATAAAGACCTCATGGTGCCATTTATTGCTTTGGGAATCCTTGTTTCTCTGGCAGCTGTTGCTACATTTGGACTTGAAGAGACAAGTGGCAAAGCTTTGGAAGACACAATGAATCCTTTTACACAGGAAACTACTGAGAAAGGATACCTCCTCCAACAAAAAGCATCTGGAGAGTCACGTGATAACAGAAAATGATTTCCTTGCTGATTCAGTCCGTGCGAGATTGTAAAGACATTGGAGATGGATATAGGACCGCATGTCTATGTCCACCTCCAATGTCTTTACATTCTCGTACATTCGGTTGCACATGAAACTTATTTCTTGAGATTTGGTTTTAAACTTTATCATGGACTGCTCTTTATCACTGTTCCCCCTCAATATGGCTTCGAAGAGTCAATAAGTAAAACAGTTTAGAAGAAACCTACTTCAGAAACGTAGAGGAAAGACCATCAAATACTATTTGACACCACCATCGACTTAGGAAAACAAAGGGCAAAACTTTGGATGACACCACGAAAGATTTAATCACAAACGTTCATATATTTTATATATTACAATCAGCTAATACACATGGCTTCAAGGTGTGATGTGATAATACACGTAAACCCTAAAAAATATTGAAGACTGTACCGTAGTGGTTTTGTTTACTTTGACAACATGCGTAATGCATTTCGTAGATCTGACATTTCATTTATGTTCTCATTCTTGTCTGTGTTGTGTTTATTGTGGGATGTGTACTGGTACTCAAAGGAACTGACTCTCTCTATCTGAACACTGCTATACTTTATTTGGGACTATTATCTCTTTATTATGTTCAATGTGATAGCGATACTCGCTGAATGATTCTTGTAAATGTCCTTAACACATTGACGTTTGTACATTGTCAATGAATAACGTCAATACACTATTTCAAATAAATGCAGATACCTTTCCGGAGACGATGTTGTTTCAACGTGTGTTTCTTCTATCTTTGCCAGGCAGTAGTTTAGTGGAGTGATACAAGGTGAATATGAATATACAATCCAGCATACTATTAAACAGAAGCATGAAAACAAACAAACGTGTGTGTGTGTGTGTGTGTGTGTGTGTGTGTGTGTGTGTGTGTGTGTGGCTGCTTGTACTAGTCCGGACTGATGCCGATTTATAGTGCTAGCCCACTGAGATACCATGCCGCAGTTTAACATGAATACCACGCTCAGACACAATATACTGACTCCGAGACGACCAGTCCTTCTTTTAACCCCTTAAAGCCGAGCGCCAGGCACGGTACCATCGTTTAACGTCTTTTGGTATGAAACGGTCGGGGATCGTATTTATTCCGCTCTTCCACGGAAACTACGAATTGTGTATATATTGTTCACTTTTAAGTGTTCGAGTATCAAGTACAACACTGGATTTGAACCATATATGCACCCAAGCAGTATGTTTCTGGAGGTATCAAAGTGACTATGAAAATGTACAAAATGTGCTGTCATCAAGAATGTCCAACTGAAACCAGGTAAGGCTAACTCCAACAGCCGTCCATGGTATCACCTTCAGGGAATGATGTTCCTTCCTTTCCCAGTGTCAGGGGGTGAGCCCCGGAGCGGAGTTCTAGAGGGGAGGGAGAGCCTCGGAGATGATTTAAGATCAGGCAGACCTTCAACTGCAATCGCTGAGAAAACGTTGATAAAATACATTAATCTCTCATGAGAGAGCTGTGAGCATGCAGGGAATGAACTGGGCATGACAAAGGTTTCAGAACACTGGGTTCCAAGACTTCTAACCCCTGATTAGAAACGCTCCAGGTTCATCTTCTCTCGTGAGAATTTACGTCGTTTGGAAGCAGACCCAGCTGTGTTTGTTGAGCGATGTGTCACCATGGTTAAGTCTTGGGTTTAGCACTATCAGCCAGATACTAAATGCACCAAAAGCAGTGGAAACATCTAATGTCTCCTCCATAGAAGAACTTGGAGTGTTCCTACCGCTGGCAAGGTGGTGGCTTCAGTCTTCTGGGACTCCCCAAGGAATCATGTTGGTGGACTATCTACTATTCTGTCTTTTAATGGCCAATATTATGCTAATCTGCATGGGAATATCGAGACAAAACGTCGTGGAAGCTCCCTGAAGGACTGTTGTCCCACAAGACTACAAATTGTCGCTGTCATTGTACATCGAGGGCGCGTGACATCCACATCCAGTGACATGCTGTCAAGCACTGTGCTACATTTGGGACTGTGCTACATCTGGGACTGTGCTACATTTGGGACTGTGCTACATCTGGGACTGTGCTACATTTGGGACTGTGCTACATTTGGGACTGTGCTACATCTGGGACTGTGCTACATCTGGGACTGTGCTACATTTGGGACTCAGCTACATTTGGGACTGTGCTACATCTGGGACTGTGCTAAATTTGGGACTGTGCTACATTTGGGACTGTGCTACATTTGGGACTGTGCTACATCTGGGACTGTGCTACATCTGGGACTGTGCTACATTTGGGACTGTGCTACATCTGGGACTGTGCTACATCTGGGACTGTGCTACATTTGGGACTGTGCTACATTTGGGACTGTGCTACATTTGGGACTGTGCTACATTTGGGACTGTGCTACATTTGGGACTGTGCTACATTTGGGACTGTGCTAGATCTGGGACTGTGCTACATCTGGGACTGTGCTACATCTGGGACTGTGCTACATCTGGGACTGTGCTACATCTGGGACTGTGCTACATCTGGGACTGTGCTACATTTGGGACTGTGCTACGTCTGGGACTGTGCTACATTTGGGACTGTGCTACATTTGGGACTGTGCTACATTTGGGACTGTGCTACATCTGGGACTGTGCTACATCTGGGACTGTGCTACATCTGGGACTGTGCTACAACTGGGACTGTGCTACATTTGGGACTGTGCTACATCTGGGACTGTGCTACATCTGGGACTGTGCTACATTTGGGACTGTGCTACATTTGGGACTGTGCTACATTTGGGACTGTGCTACATCTGGGACTGTGCTACATTTGGGACTGTGCTACATCTGGGACTGTGCTACATCTGGGACTGTGCTACATTTGGGACTGTGCTACATTTGGGACTGTGCTACATCTGGGACTGTGCTACATCTGGGACTGTGCTACATCTGGGACTATACAAAGGGCTGTATGTATGTTTGTTTGTTGTTTAACGCCGCACTCGTAAATAATCGAGTCTGAATCATACAACCATTTCTCGATATTGTAATCCATGATACACGCCGTTGGGATGTGGAGAAATGCTGTCAACTAAGTCATCACACCTGTCCATCTAATCCATTTGGTCGCCTCGTACGAGGTTGTGGGGACCAGTTCTAACCCGGAATCCCCACGGGGACCTGACATGCTGAGAGTTCTGACAAGGAGATATTGTGCCCCTTTATTTTGTGAGGCCTATTCATAATGTCTATGTGATTGTGCAGTGGGTGAACATAAACCTAATTTAGAAGGAAGATGTCAAGAAGTGAAATGACCAGTGTCTGATACTTAGCAGAGAAAACTTTTCAACACATTTTAAAAAGTGTTGGCCCAGTGGAAAAAACAATTGGCCCAAACATTTTAGCTGAAACAGAGAGACATACTCATGCAATGTAAATTACAAGACACAACCAGTCAACCAGAAGCTTTACTTTTGTCACACCGAGTTCCCAGAGACTCTGTGGTGATCGATGAAACCTACATTTATCAAGGAAATTATCAGCTTGTAAAACATCTCATACACATACTCTACATACTACATGTCATACACCATTTGAAAGGTCTAATCCTAATGTTTATAAATTTTAAAGTTATTTTTTTCAAATTATTTAAATAATGCATTTACAACTTAATTAAGTTCGTTTTTATTAAAGATTTCAGCTAAGATATTCATAACGTCCAGATTAAGCACCAAGGAAGCGAAAATTTATTACGATTTTCGGCAATTTTAAGATTTCATGATAGAGCTATCCACTAACTTATTTCGCCTTTACTTTCATTGTTAAAGTAATTGGAGAATGATGATTAATTCTTTTTAAGTACGATCCATCGTCACATATTTCCCGCCAATAGTAGCTTTCCGCTCAGTGACATTAGAAAAAACTGGGAAATACCTCCGCTTTCGAAGCATTGTATAAATAACACGTGCAAAGAGTCGTTCGATTTTTGGTGTCGTTAGAAATCTCTGAACATCAATACTATTACTGTAACCTCGCCAGGAGTATATTCGTAGTTGTAACATACGATTTTATTGGATAGAAAATGGTTTCTAATTACGTTTTTGTCTTAATCAACTATAAGGATCGTGAATGGTTAAAATTAATCTCACTACCTAAGACAGACAATCAAATTACAGCAATGGCTACCGTCCTCGTGTATGGTATACATGTATTTCAGATTAAGACGAAATTCTTTGGTTCAATCGCGTTATTACACGATCGCACAAATAGATGGAAATAGAAACTTAGATGTAAGTTTGAGAATTTTTAGAAATATATTTGTTGATTTTATTTATTACTTTATGCAATTTATTTACGATTTTGCTTAAAAAGTCTTTATACTGTTTTTTGACATCCCAGATTATTTTTGCAGGAAATAGTTCACAGTTTTAAATCTATTAATGAAATATGATAAATTGAAATGAAATACGTATTTTCAGACTTTGTGATAAAGCGACAGATGTAATAAATGAATGAGATGACAGGTAGGTTCATGAAAATATTTATTATTTTGGCGTGGCTACGGTGTTTCCGAGTTGAAAGAGTTAACGAGCAGAGTACTTTAAATCTTGACCCTGTTTCTCAGCCCGAGAACAAATGTGTCGGCCTCGGGCCTAAGGTCCGATGTCTATTTCGAACACTGCCCATGTGGGATCCGAACCGATGCATTCAGCGTGACGAGCGAACCTTTTAACCAATAAGCTTCCCATCGCCTTTTGTTTTAATTACTATTATTACAACCAGAAAAAGAGGTATTGAAATGCCAAAGCTGCCGTTGCAAAACCTAACAGGTGACTTCTGTTCCAAGGGAACTGAGAATGCAAAGCATCTGGGATAATAATGTAAGGCCATTAGCATGCTCAATGGTGTGGCTATCCTAAATATTGTGTAAAACTAATATGCATCATAAGAGTATTATTATTATCATCTGTATTCTTATAATTGCGGCGTGGACTTTAAAATGTAATTGGTTACTTGGCCTTCTTACACACAACGGAACGTGAGTGAGGAAGCTCCCAGGTGCTGTTTTAATGCTCTCATATCATGCGCTTGCATATTTTATGCAGATCACCATTTATTCTCTGTGACGGGAGAAGTTTTTCAACCACATTCGTTGTTTCAGTAGTATCATCCTTTTTTACCAAAAGAAACGTATAACGACCCTTCAACGTACCTTCAAAGAACCGTCAACGTACTCCCAACGTACCATCAACGAACCTTCCATTGCATGTACCTTGTAGTTCCTGGAGACAATGTGAGTAGAGTATCATTGCTATTGTTGCGCACCACAGCTATGATTAGATCGCTGTCAGTATACTTCTATAACCTTCAAAACAAGTAGGGGATACTTGGAAATAACTAAAAATGTCTGCAATTGTAATATATATGAGTTTCTAGTCATAGTTGCATGATTGTAATGAACGAATTGTAAACACATTACAACCGGTAGTAAAGTATGATAGTAGATGCTATGACCGCCAAAGATCTTGGAAGGACGATTAGGGTAAAATGGGAGATTTCAAAGTTGACAATTATGGATCCGCAGTGCTTAATACCGCCTCGATTTGTCAAACATTCATTCACTCGACGAGGCATACTGCGTATGAATGTCCCACACCTCTCGCAGCCCCTGGTGAAGTTCAGCCCACGTGATTGGCAGCCTATGACGTTGACGTACCCGTCTCCCCATCATGTTCCTGACGTATTCAGTGGGGGAAATATCTGGGTTTGTTGCTGGCCATGATATTCTATGGAGGTTGTTCTGCCCGAGGTTAGCATTGGCGACTTGTGCACGGTGAGAATGGGCGTTGTTGTCCTGAAAGACCAAAACGCCTTGCAAACAGGACAACAAAGAGTGTCTGTACGATGTCCCGATAGTACTGTCCAGTGACCCTTCCTTGCCCAATATAGAGTGGGGTTTGCTCAGTCATTGTGACGCCACCCCACACCATAACCAATCCACCGCCAAATCTGTCAAGAGGTCTCGGGTTGCTTGACGTTCAATTCGACGTCGCCTGACACGACCACGCCTATCAAGGAGGTGCAAAAGGAACTGGGACACGTCTGAAAACATGACACGTGACCAGCCACGATTGCCCCAGTTTCGACGTCATGTACACCATTGGCGTCTGTCGGAGTTATGAGGAAGCGTAAGGGTCGACACAACACGTGGCCGTCGAGCATGGCGATGAGCTGCATGTAAACGATTTCTAATCGTCTGACCCGTAACTCGTATTCAAGAAGCCTGATAAAGGTTTGCGACAATTCGATTCGCCGTTTGAGCTTGATTTCGGATCAATCGATCCCGTACTCTTGCCGTTGACCTGGGCGCCTTGAACGGGTTCGATCGTCAACATTTTAAGTTTGTCGGTACATTACCCTAGTCTGCTAATCGCAGACTGTGAGACATTGAACGTACGGCCACGTATTGGCCACTGCAAGCTGAGGTCTGTCAGTTTCCAATATGCAAATAGCTCGCATCGCTAGTTCATACTAAAATGAATGAAACAAGTAAATCATAACTGTTTGATACACAAAACCAATACGAGTGGCAGAAATAATGGTCTACGGAGAATTATCAACCTTCCGTGAACGTGTCAAAATGAAGAATGACACCCCATGCACGTGTTTGGCGCAACTGCGGGCGCTACAGCGTGAGACTCGTGCAAACTATCGGATTTGTTTTGGTGTTATGTTTTACTGACATTAACGTCCTTGCATCTCGTCAACACTTATCTTTGTTCAAACACTGGGTAATAACATTATAGTTTACAATCCCCTACTTGCCTACAAGAGTATAGATTCGCAGTTGAACACAGTTTTACATATTACTCCTCTTCAATCCATGTCTCAAAAATAAGGATCTTAGGTAATCATCTTTCTCTTCTGAAAGACTGTGAAAAACAGCCAATTACTAGTTAGCTACAAAGATTCACAACTTATGATTTACGGATGCAGTATTGCATGAATTGCCAATTGTAATACATGTATGTTGACTGTTCGAAGAATTTGATGGCTGGTCATGTTGAGATGCATTCCCAATGCCTTTTTACATCAGCTATTATTCGCCATTATGTGTGGATATTTAAGTCCCTTCAAGAAGTCGAAACATTCGCACAGTCGACGCTAATAACCTACCAGTAGTGAATGAACAGTTTCATTATTTAGTGAAATTCCCAGGAATAATTAACCACATAGAAATATTCCTATGAGTAAATTGATCGTGTTGTTCATCGATTGCTTCCCGATAGCATCATCTGTACATCTATCCAAGAACAATAAAACAAATGATACGGTACTAATTCCATTGACATTCATGTTGTCGTAACGTTAGGACTTCATTCCACGAACAACTGTCCTAGGGTCTGTTGCAAAGTGCAAATCGCTTGCAAGCGATGTACAGCGATTCGCCTCACAACTTTCAGCCGCTTGCAATCGTACCTATCGCTGGCTGAGGCCGCTCTCTTCTCAAATCAAAATGGCGACAGCGGAACAAGAACATTCTTGACTGGATGAACTGGGAAATAAGCAAAGGCAGTTAACACCCCATCATCCTCAGTCTGCTCCTCATCTTCAAAGTAGTCATAAACTTCATCAGTTCGTCATCGAGCCTCTTCTTTAACGTTGTTCATTAGGCAAGGCAACCAAGCGGTAGTTGCGCCGCCATATTGGAAGAGTGCGCAAGCGCTTCCAGCTGTTGCAGACCCAGGGATGAGCGATTAATTTGCTTACTTGAAGCTATTCGTGGCTTGCAACGCGCCCCTAGTCAATCCAAACCTGCCTTCCACGGGAGATGCCGCTTACATTGACGTCACAATCAAATGGCGTCACTCATCTATCTTGCTGAAGCTGGTTAACTACACTTTGTGCGCTTAAGACACTGGCTATTACTGTTACAAACGGAATGTCACCCGAGTGTCTTTTGATATCAAATATATCAACTCGAATGGATAAATATTTAAAACTATTTTCAACTCGTGAGACTGTGCGCACTGAACAACGTAATATTGAAAACAAATCACAAAAATCGATGTCTATGATATAGTACCGACCTCAAATCAGAACCATAAAATGGTAGGGTGACGTGTACAGGTATCAAAAGCTCAGGTTCGTTGTGCAAGTTTCCCCGAACATATTGATATTGTCTGTCCCCACATTTAAATGGGTTTGCAAGGCCAGTGTGTCTTCTGGAGTCAGGTGGCCTGGGTGACAGGTTGGTCCTGGCGGTGCCCGTGTACAGGGAAGTCCACATTGGGTGTCTCCTGATTGCATGTCGATGGTGTATGTCACAGTGCCGTAGGTATTGCAAAACTGATGCCCAGTTATCAATGAAACACGACTCATGAGTAACGGCTGGTGTGCCATCTTTCTGCGACAGGGTGGCACGTTCATGGTGATAGTAAAACGGCGATGGCCTCCCTGGCACAATATCACCAAACACACATGCAACCACCCAATCACTCTCTCCCTCTGGTACTTGACATTAAGGGGCTAAAACAGGGACTGGTCGGCTCGGAGTCAGTATACTGTGTCTTTGTGGGGTATTCATGTTAAACTGCGGCATGGTATCTCAGTGTGCTTGCACTATAAAATCGGCATTAGTTCGTACACACACACACACACAGACACACACACACACACACACACACACACACACACAGACACACACACAGACAGACACACACACACAGACACACACACACACACACAGACACACAGAGAGACAGACACACACACACACACACACACACACACACACACACACACACGTAATACATAAATGCAATAATCTTGGACGCGACGTTAAACCCCATTTCACCTTACCTCCCCCAAACATTACCATGGACTTACTAAAAACCAGCCGTGGCACTAAGATCGCTCTATGTAACAAGGCCTAGATACGTATTGTGGAACAAAGACATGGAAAAGAGACCATCCCCTGATAATTTAAATTACATAATTACAATTCTTATTCTTTCATGCATGGTTCCTTATAGAGACCACCTGCTGAGATAGAACACCAGCCGCTCAACACTTGGAAGACATGCATTTGGAAACACTCATTGATGATCTTGGAAGCTTTGGTATTTACCAAATGATACTGATTCCGACATTATCGTTAGCAGTATTAGTACTTGGTCCTACCATGTTGATGATGGCATTTGCTGGCGTGGAGCCTGATTGGTGGTGTACTTCACAACATCTACTGCCCAGCCAGTGGAACGTGAGCTATGCGAACGGAAGTTATCAAAATTGCTTATGGAACGGAACATGTGAGAGGAAGTTCAGTGATGAAATGGAGACGGCTGTCACAGAGGTAAATATGTGGAATCTGGTTTCCAGGGCTTTCCTAATAAATCTATCAAAATGAGAAACCCAAGACAATAGTGAGTGAGTGAGTTGGATTTGATGCCGCTTTAAACAGTATTCCAGTTATATCATTGGGTGTCAGCTTCATGTGATGTGGTCTCGGATGTTTACCATTGATGTGAACCCACTGGTATGGTGCTGACACACCTAAAACATAATCATGGCGAACCGGGATTCGAACCCACGACCATAGGCGTGCCCAACTCACACACTCTTAAACGTGTAGGATGTAAATAGAAACATGATAGAAAGAATGCATAGCCTACTCACATCCGCTGTCAATATCAAGAAAGGCGGAGCTGTAGAAGGTAAACATGCAGAAGCCCTAGTTACACTACTGTTTAATTGGTCACCACCATCGGACAAAAACAGTATTGAATATTACATAACATAACTGTGCATCATTCCGGCACACAATCATGATATTGCCAAACTATCAGGGCATCAGGACATGCGCTTGCACCTTTTCTTTATTTCAGTGGAACTTGGTCTGCCAGATGAGCTGGGTCAGCAACGCAATAATATCTATCCAAATGGTCGGTGTGCTGGTTGGTACTGTGATTGCTGGCTATTGTGCAGACGCATATGGCCGGAAGAAGGTTTTCTACAGTGGATTACTTTTAATTTTCCTGGGAAATACAGCTTCCGCGTTTTCTGTTTCCTGGGTCATGTTTACAGTTTTACGAGCGGTCCTTGGCATTGCCTGCAGCTTTATATTAAGTACAACATACCTCTACCAAATAGAGTTTGTTGGGAAGAAATGGCGGGCGTTGATATCGTCCCTTCCAACATGGTCAGTGTCCATCATGATGTTTAGCCTCTTAGCTAAATTGCTCCACAACTGGAAATGGCTCCATCTGGCAACGGCAGCTTTAACATTCCCAATCCTCTTTACATGGTTGTAAGTATTATTAAATGTTCATATTCAAATCAAGTAAAATCGTAAAACACTCTCAAAACTGATCTTGCTCTCTCAAACATTTGTTTTTTTAAATTTGTAAACTTTGAACACTGGTCAAAAGAACGTTTTGTCACAAACATCTCAAACATATTGTAATATGCTATTGACTGCCTCCGTGGTCTAGTGGTAAAGCGTCCGCCGGCCGATCCCCGGCCGCGTCATACCAAAGACGTTAAAATATGGTACTTGTTGTTACCCTGTCTGGCGCTCGGCATTAAGGGGTTAAAACAAGGACTGGTCGGCTCGGAGTCAGTATACTGTGTCTGAGTGGGGTATTCATGTTACACTGCGGCATGGTATCTCAGTGGGCTATAATTCGGCATCAGTCCGGACTAGTACAAGCAGACACAAACACACACACACACACACACACACACACACACACACGCACGCACGCACGCACGCACGCACGCACGCACGCACGCACGCACGCACACACACACACTCACTCACACACGTGTAAGCACGTCGCTATATAAGTGCAATAACCTTGGAAGCACGTTAAACCCCATTTCACCTCACCTAATCAGCTATTGAGCCATTGAACGAAGCGACTTACAAGATCTAGGATATTGCAAATACGTACCAAAGATTGCATATCAGCTTAAAGCCTGTCAACGATACCATTCTAAAAACAGTACAAGAACCACCATGTATTGTCACATCACATCATCACTTGACAAGTGTGATGCGGGTTCTATATAGCACTGTTTTTTTCTTCACATCGAAAACCCCACTGGGATTTGCTTGTGGACGCTGTTATGATTACGCTCGAAAGCTTTACCAAACACATGGCTTTATTTTCTCAAGCTTTGTGCCAGAATCCCTGCGTTGGCTGGCTGTGAAAGGCCGCGTGGAGGAGGCGAGGCGTGTCATCAACAAGATGGCGGCCTACAACAAGAAGCCAGTTCCGGACACGTCCATCCTGGAGCTGATAGCTGAGGAGGAGAAGGCGGAGGGGGACAAAGCCAAATCCTACACTTATATAGATCTGCTGAAGACAAAGAAGCTCGCAAGGAAAACAATATTTTCGTGTTATATCTGGTAGGCAGATCTATACACTATCAGAAATACTCACTTTATACAATGGAAATCGAAAATGCATTTTTTGGTAATATTCAGAAATTTCCCAAAGCTGAGTTATTTTATTTCAATCATAATTTGCTCGTATTTGAGAGGCACCGTAAGTGTAGTTCGTAATGCAACATGGAATGGACACTCCTGAAGCTAGTATTTGTAGGGTTTAGTTCAATACCGCACGTCAGTGGTATGACGTATCGTCACTCATTGTGAAGCAAAATATACTACTCAAAAGAAGTTAAGGATCACCCGATTCTTTCATATTTGTAATGTTAATCTGTCATGGCACGAGAGATTAACTTTTGTAATATGAAAGAATCAGGTGATCCTTAACTTCTTTTGAGTAGTATATATTACCTCACAATCGGATATAGAAAGGCGACAAATCAAACCATGAAATACACTGTTGTAGTCGCTTTCTTTTTTCTGCACGAAATGTATTACCACGCGTTCTTTGAATAGTGTAGTAAACACAATTCTGCAATGCAATGATAAACTCTGACCAATAATTGTTCAGCCGACCAACAGCGATTGAGAAAAATATAAATATTAATTTCCACAGTGATACAGCGGTAAAATAAACTGTTTCAGTGATGTGGTTAATGTCATTTGAAATCCCTGAATGACTGATCAGAAATATATTTCATGGTAATATTCTAAATTCAATTTCCTTTCACAGGTTTTCTTGCTCAATAGTGTACTATGCCATCAGCTTCGGCTTGAAGAATCTGTCTGGTGATTTCTACCTCAACATGCTCCTGATGGCACTGACGGAGTTGCCAATAACGCCGTGTATCATTGTCGTCACCTCTCTGTGAGTCTACATCTCGGGGTTTGTTTCATGGCTGTATCTTCGATACGTTTAACAATGGAAAATCTTACGAATTATCCAAACGGCTGTTATTAACAAACTGATAATGGTTAATATGCTAATATACTTTCTGTTTGGGTAATAGTTTCACTGAAAAAAACTAGTTGATATTTTAGGGCGTTTGACCACGATGTATCTGTAATTCGTTTTATTATGCAAGCACAGAGAAAATACATTGTGCACAAACGAGTTTATCCACACCCTTGACATTTTCTAAACTAGGCTATAACGTGCGCGTTGTAATCTATAATGTGTCATTCATGTCATGTCGGTGTGGGTGTTGTCTAACGTCGCTTGAACAGTATTGCCGTGTCATCAGGGCGTGTCCAGCTGTATGTGGGAGGGACGTTTGAGACATTTTGGAAACCCACGTGCACGGATATACGACGGGGGTAACAAACCAAGCAAAACCTCATTTGGTCGAATCTGGATTCAAACCCAGGATCACAGGTTTCAGGCCTACCTAAGGAACGCAACTCTGCAAAACGAATTGAGGCGCCTTAGACGACTGGACCGTCCGTGCCCCCTTTGTCGTATTATTTGTCCAGACTCTGACAGTCCCTGTACATGTGTTTCCTGACCGAGTCTACACTTAAATGCATTCCTGGATATGTTTCCTGGCCCAGTCTACACTTGAATGCATTCCTGGATATGTTTCCCGACCCAATCTACACTTGAATGCATTCCTGGATATGATTCCTGACCCAGTCTACACTTAAATGCAAGCCTGGATATGTTTCCCGACCCAGTCTATACTTAAATGCATTCCTGGATATGTTTCCTGACCCAGTCTACACTTAAATGCATTCCTGGATTTGTTTCCTGACCCAGTCTACACTTGAATGCATTCCTGGATATGTTTCCCGACCCAATCTACACTTGAATGCATTCCTGGATATGTTTCCTGACCCAGTCTACACTTAAATGCATTCCTGGATATGTTTCCTGACCCAGTCTACACTTGAATGCATTCCTGGATCTATTTCCAGGTTTGGAAGGCGGGTCTGTGCTGCCTTCGCGTTTCTTCTGACTGCCGCAGGATGCTTTGGTTTAGCCATATCGACACGATTAGGTGAGTTTATTTGTACCTTTGATACATGTATTTAAAGGGGTATTACCACTGAATCAAATGAGACATAGCTATGCTGCAACACAGCAGTACACTGACAGCGACAACGGACATTTGCTGACACCTTGTTAATGTTAGGCAATCACAAATACATTTAACGTTCCCATTGGATATACCTTTCGTACCTTTCGTACGGCACTAAATGCGACATTTAGGGGCTCGAGTTTCGCGTTTGTATATATTTATACATGTTATTTTGTCATAAAGGTTTTTGTAATATTGAACACATCAGCATCACCTAAAGCCACCATTTACTGTTTTGTCTCATAGCTCCGGTGGAAGACAAAGGGAACTACATCAACGCATGCGCACTAACAGCCAAGTGTACAACCCTGTTGGGGTGGCTGGTGGTGCAGGCGTTGTGTGTTGAGCAGTATCCAACTGTGATCAGGTAATGAGACCATCGGTGAATCAAACAGTCTGACTTGAAACAGACATCGCTGTGCATGTTATTGGGCTCAGTGTTTATGTTGACTACCGTGCCAAATTCACGCTTTTCGTGTATTAGAAACGGGAAAGCATGTCCTGCTCTAACAGTAGCACCCGCCACTCAAACAATTTGCACGAAAAGTTAAGTGTTCGTTTGTTGCCCAAAGCCGCACTACAGGGATACGATTTCTACCCATCACTTGTCGTCACAACTAACGTCAAAACCGAACATACTCGAGATTTATGTCACGTAAGCCACTTGAGAGTGAAACCCGTGAAGATCCGGGGTAGAATAGGTCTTCAGCAACCCATGCTTGCCGTAAAAGTCGACTATGCTTGTCGTAAGAGGCGACTTATGGGATCGGGTGGTCAGGCTCGCTGACTTGGTGTATGCATGTCATCGTATCCCAATTGCGTGGATCGATGCTCATGATGTCAATCACTGGATTGTCATGACTCATTTATTTACAGACCGCCGTCATATAGCTGGAATATTGGTGAGTGCAGCGTTAAACAACAAACAAACAAAACAAAACTTGAGGATGCCACCTCTATTGCTCTCAGAGATACCAAGATATCTGATATTTCCCAGCGCAAGGCGCTCTCGGGGATCAATCCCAGTTTACCACATTGTATCGCACAGTCATGATATCAGTTGTATCTAAATAACCATTATTTGATTAATGTGTTTAAGGAATTTGGGATACGCTGCCATGAATTCGGGTGCAAGAATTGGTGGTATACTTGCAGGTCTAGTTCTGTCTCTGGTGAGTCCCTCCTTGGAAATTAATATTCGTGAGGACATACATGGACGACGTTATCATATCTAGGTGTCTGCACATATTAAGAACACCCACTCCCAAAATCCTAATCCCAGTGAGCCGAAATGTCAAGAAAAAAGGAGCCACCTTTCACGTCAGCTGCCAGTTTTGTAAAACATGCTGTATTACTTGTTTAAGAAATTGCAAGTGAGGTGAGGTGAAATTGGGTTTAACGTCGCGTCCAAGATTATTGCACTTATATTGTGACGTGCATGCACGTGTGTGTGTGGCTGCTTGTACTAGTCCGGACTGATGCCGATTTTTTGTGCTAGCTCACTGAGATACCATGCCGCAGTTTAACATGAATACCTCACTCAGACACAGTATACTGACTCCGAGCCGACCAGTCCTTGTTTTAGCCCCTTAATGCCGAGCGCCAGACAGGGTAACAACAAGTACCATCTTTTAACGTCTTTTGGTATGACGCGGCCGGGGATCAAACCCCGGACCTTCCGGACGCTCTACCTCTAGACCACTGAGGCGGTAGAAATTGCAAGTATATCAATATTTGTCATGTGATGGTAACAGGGAACTTGTTATGAGAATGGAGTGAAGTAATAATCTGAGGATCTTCATCTCTGCTTCACGAAAGAGTAGAAGCGTTTGGTGAAGGAATGGCCCTGTTATCCGATTTTTATTCAGTGTTTCTCTTTGTACATTGTTGCATAATTGGTCCAAATTAACTAACTTTAGATCTTAGTTCCTTAGGAGTTGAGAACATATTCGGTAGTTACTAGTATATATGATTACTTTGTGAAACAGATGTTTTGCTGTATTCTGTAACTGAACCTTTGCACGTTTCTAATAAAAACTAACGGAAAACATAACAGTGTTTCATATTAAGTGAAGTAAACGTTATTAAATAACAACATAATAGTTGGTCGTCTGTTCAATGTTTACTATAATAACTTAAGTGTCAGAACCCATATCTGGTATGAGGAGACAGAGCGACCCGCCGTAACAGAGAGGGGGTGTATGAGGTGTATTGGCTCAACTAACAAAGGCCATATCAAAAACCACCATTTGGGTCGATAAAGGCGAGGCGGCGGCGGCGCACTGAAGGCAACAGCTGATTGTGAACAATCTGGCGGATATTGTTCCTAATGCCAACCAAAGATTGACCCAACTGACAGCAATACCGTCAGGTTCTGGTCCTGCCATAGGCGTCGTTCCATCTCATCCCAGACATGTTCCTTTGGGGAGAGATATGGAGAATCCCCCTGGCTATGGCAGCACAGTAATGTTATGCTGGTACAAAAAGTTTGTTGCAACACGTGCAACGTGTGGGGTGGCATTGTCCTGCTGCAACGTGACGTCTCGTGCCTGCATTTGGACAAAGGATAGAACATGATCTCGAACGATGTCGTCCCGGTAGCGTACGTCGTTCACATTTCCATTGACAATGATGAGTAGTGTTTTCCAATGAGTTGTGATGCCACCCCATACCATTCCACATCCACCCCCAAACTGACGACGTTGAATAACGCAAGCGTCGCCAAAACGTTCTCCTGGACGCCCTTTGGCCCTTGCACCCTTGCATCGAATCCGTAGATACGATAATATTTGGTTGTCTTGTAGACGTGACGTCACATTCGGACGACCGGACAGTGGCACGTCATGAGAGACGTTGTAGATAACGTCTCCAAAGAAGTGATATTCTTTTTCGATGATCATTAAAAAGTCTGGCAACTTCGTTTTGCGCCATATCTGTTTGCAGCATACCTATGGATACATGATTTTCGGAAAGCTGTCGCATTGCGTACGTGTTATTTACGCTTAAAGGAAAAGTATTTTTATGAGCACTTGATAGCAAAACAATCATTGTGTGCTGTACACATTAAGAAACCAAGTGTATGAGTAGCTTGCTCCAAAAAAACACGCAAGCATCCGAATGGTGAAAGATGCGTTATTTAATTGCAGAATAAATGATATTAAAACTCAATATGAAGCATGGTTATTTTTTTCGTTATTGTACTTGTAAACTAATAAAGATATTTGTTTTGAGTGCAATTAATAGACCATGTTGTTAAAGCACCGTGTAATATAAGTCTTGCAAAACCAAATAAGAGACAACTGCACTTAACAATAAAATGGCATCTGGTAAGGATCATTAGGGCAGTTTTCTGCATCTTCTCCTCATGTTGTGTCTGTGAAATGGTGCAGCATGGGCATACCTACACTACATTCTTCAAACATAATCGCTGTACATATAAGCATGGTGTTTGTTTGTGTATGAACTGTAAAACTATGGATATATGTTTTACGTGGTTGTTGAAATGAATGCAATATTTTGAAAATATATTTTACAAATATTTATTTTTGAACTCGTATCATTTTCAGGGTGGAAGTAAGGATCTAATGGTTCCATTCATTGCTCTGGGAATCGTGGTGTGCGTTACTGTGCTTGCTACACTGGGACTCGACGAAACACGGGGCAAAGCTTTAGAAGACACCATGAAAACCTGTACACCTGAAACGCATGAGAAGGGGAGGTTACTGCTGTGGGAAGGACAAGGGGGGTCCACAGTTCCACGTGACGACCAGCCTGATAAGCTTGCCGAGAAAGTTGTCTCCTAGAATGGGAAGACTTAGAAGACTAAAACTAAGGTCATAATTTGACAAGTAGCTTAAACACAAACAGATATCGTGATTGTCTCAATATATCTATTCATGTAAAAATTCAATGTCAATGACTGGAAATAATAATTAGGACCCTTACACTCACAAATGTTTTTTTTTATAACAAGTTATGCGTTATTTCTTGAATTCTTGAACAATATTGAATCGAGTTCCATGCTTAACACACACTATGCTGACTTTTTTTTGAATGATGATCTGCTAGTGGAAGGGTCGTCATGGTAACTTGGAATATACTGGAAGTAAACTGATTGTTCACTCAACGCTTACTTATTTGTTTCTCCAAGCAAAATATTCTGCCTCAAACATCTTGGGCTTTGAGTTTTAAGAAAATGCTATTTAGATTTGGTCTGGGACATGTTTGGGTCCAACAAGACATTATTTGTTGTATTTAGAGAAATTAGGTATTTATTCCAGTTTATATCCTTATAAGCATATTAAGACCATGTAGAATTGCTCAATCTCGGTTTCGTCAAGTTGTAAACGTCTGAGACCTGCATCACTTCGGGCTTTCCTCTCACATTAAGCTGACACGCCGTGATATAACTTGAATACTGTTAAAAGTGGCGTTAAAACCCAACTCACTCACTCATCTCTTGATTTAATGTTTTCTGAAGGTAGAATATTCCCCCAAATAACCGATTATGTCCATTATGCGGTGTTCCCACTGCATGAAATGAATATCATCTTGCTGCATTTGTGAGATTTAAGCCACCATCTTCTTCCTGACTACAGTAAACTACGTGTATAGCGACCACGCTTATAACGAACTAACGGATATAAAGAACTGTTTTGGTCCCGTCCATTTGCCGTATATATGTCGTATATATGTCTGTAATGAACTACGTTTATAACGAACTAACATAAGTGGTCCCTTTGAGTTCGTTTTAACCGCAGTTTACTGTATTACATTGTACACACTTCAGAAAGTTGGTCTAGTTCTTAACATCTCGTTATGTGCATGGTATTCAAGCCTTGGCTAAATGTACCTTTCTAGCGTTCTAAAACACCAAGTAAATTCTTTGAAAAATAACAAAGCTGTTGTGTGACTCCTAGAGAAATGTAAAATGATGCCACGTATTACGAGTATATATATTGGGCATGTCAGAACTGCAAGCCATGAAAAACCGAGCTTTCCGAGTGTGTTGCACAACATGATACGGTGACCGGGATGAATCGACGCCCTGGGACGTGATATGGCGTCGCCGTGGGACGAACATAGCGAACGATGAGCAACATCGTCGTTTTGTTTTACTGCAGTATGTTGCTAAATGCCCAACTCTCAGCAACAGGTGTACGTGTGGTTATAAAATTCTTCAAGGATTGCTCATCCCTGTGTCTAGAGACAGCTAAACGCCCAACACCTAGCAACTCATGCCTGTGTCTAAAGGGAGCTAAACGCCCAACACCTAGCAACTCATGCCTGTGTCTAGAGGCAGCTAAACGCCCAACACCTAGCAACTCATCCCTGTGTCTAGAGACAGCTAAACGCCCAACACCTAGCAACTCAAGCCTGTGTCTAGAGACAGCTAAACGCCCAACACCTAGCAACTCAAGCCTGTGTCTAGAGGCAGCTAAACGCCCAACACCTAGCAACTCAAGCATGTGTCTAGAGACAGCTAAACGCCCAACACCTAGCAACTCAAGCATGTGTCTAGAGGCAGCTAAACGCCCAACACCTAGCAACTCATGCCTGTCCAGAGGCAGCTAAACGCCCAACACCTAGCAACTCAAGCCTGTGTCTAGAGACAGCTAAACGCCCAACACCTAGCAACTCATGCCTGTCCAGAGGCAGCTAAACGCCCAACACCTAGCAACTCAAGCCTGTGTCTAGAGACAGCTAAACGCCCAACACCTAGCAACTCAAGCATGTGTCTAGAGACAGCTAAACGCCCAACACCTAGCAACTCAAGCCTGTGTCTAGAGACAGCTAAACGCCCAACACCTAGCAACTCAAGCATGTGTCTAGAGGCAGCTAAACGCCCAACACCTAGCAACTCAAGCATGTGTCTAGAGGCAGCTAAACGCCCAACACCTAGCAACTCAAGCCTGTGTCTAGAGACAGCTAAACGCCCAACACCTAGCATCTCATGCCTGTGTACAGAGGTGGCTAAACGCCCAACACCTAGCATCTCATGCCTGTGTCTAGAGGCAGCTAAACGCCCAATACCTAGCAACTCATCCCTGTGTCCAGAGGCAGCTAAACGCCCAACACCTAGCAACTCAAGCATGTGTCTAGAGACAGCTAAACGCCCAACACCTAGCAACTCAAGCATGTGTCTAGAGGCAGCTAAACGCCCAACACCTAGCATCTCAAGCCTGTGTCTAGAGGCAGCTAAACGCCCAATACCTAGCAACTCATCCCTGTGTCCAGAGGCAGCTAAACGCCCAACACCTAGCAACTCAAGCCTGTGTCTAGAGGCAGCTAAACGCCCAACACCTAGCAACTCATGCCTGTCCAGAGGCAGCTAAACGCGCAACACCTAGCAACTCAAGCCTGTGTCTAGAGACAGCTAAACGCCCAACACCTAGCAACTCAAGCATGTGTCTAGAGGCAGCTAAACGCCCAACACCTAGCAACTCATGCCTGTCCAGAGGCAGCTAAACGCCCAACACCTAGCAACTCAAGCCTGTGTCTAGAGACAGCTAAACGCCCAACACCTAGCAACTCAAGCATGTGTCTAGAGACAGCTAAACGCCCAACACCTAGCAACTCAAGCCTGTGTCTAGAGGCAGCTAAACGCCCCATGTCCTAGCAACTCAAGTATGTGTCTAGAGACAGCTAAACGCCCAACACCTAGCAACTCAAGCCTGTGTCTAGAGGCAGCTAAACGCCCAACACCTAGCAACTCAAGCATGTGTCTAGAGACAGCTAAACGCCCAACACCTAGCAACTCAAGCATGTGTCTAGAGGCAGCTAAACGCCCAACACCTAGCAACTCAAGCATGTGTCTAGAGACAGCTAAACGCCCAACACCTAGCAACTCAAGCATGTGTCTAGAGACAGCTAAACGCCCAACACCTAGCAACTCAAGCCTGTGTCTAGAGACAGCTAAACGCCCAACACCTAGCAACTCAAGCATGTGTCTAGAGACAGCTAAACGCCCAACACCTAGCAACTCAAGCCTGTGTCTAGAGGCAGCTAAACGCCCAACACCTAGCAACTCATGCCTGTGTACAGAGGCAGCTAAACGCCCAACACCTAGCAACTCATGCCTGTGTACAGAGGTGGCTAAACGCCCAACACCTAGCAACTCATGCCTGTCCAGAGGCAGCTAAACGCCCAACACCTAGCATCTCATGCCTGTGTACAGAGGTGGCTAAACGCCCAACACCTAGCAACTCAAGCCTGTGTCTAGAGGCAGCTAAACGCCCAACACCTAGCAACTCAAGCATGTGTACAGAGGTGGCTAAACGCCCAACACCTAGCAACTCAAGCCTGTGTCTAGAGGCAGCTAAACGCCCAACACCTAGCATCTCAAGCCTGTGTACAGAGGTGGCTAAACGCCCAACACCTAGCATCTCAAGCCTGTGTCCAGAGGCAGCTAAACGCCCAACACCTAGCATCTCAAGCCTGTGTCTAGAGACAGCTAAACGCCCAACACCTAGCATCTCAAGCCTGTGTACAGAGGTGGCTAAACGCCCAACACCTAGCAACTCAAGCCTGTGTCTAGAGACAGCTAAACGCCCAACACCTAGCATCTCAAGCCTGTGTACAGAGGTGGCTAAACGCCCAACACCTAGCATCTCATGCCTGTGTCCAGAGGCAGCTAAACGCCCAACACCTAGCATCTCAAGCCTGTGTCTAGAGACAGCTAAACGCCCAACACCTAGCATCTCATGCCTGTGTCCAGAGGCAGCTAAACGCCCAACACCTAGCATCTCAAGCCTGTGTCTAGAGGCAGCTAAACGCCCAACACCTAGCATCTCATGCCTGTGTCCAGAGGCAGCTAAACGCCCAACACCTAGCATCTCAAGCCTGTGTCTAGAGGCAGCTAAACGCCCAACACCTAGCATCTCATGCCTGTGTCCAGAGGCAGCTAAACGCCCAACACCTAGCAACTCAAGCCTGTGTCTAGAGACAGCTAAACGCCCAACACCTAGCATCTCAAGCCTGTGTACAGAGGTGGCTAAACGCCCAACACCTAGCAACTCATGCCTGTCCAGAGGCAGCTAAACGCCCAACACCTAGCAACTCAAGCCTGTGTCTAGAGACAGCTAAACGCCCAACACCTAGCATCTCAAGCCTGTGTACAGAGGTGGCTAAACGCCCAACACCTAGCAACTCATGCCTGTGTCCAGAGGTGGCTAAACGCCCAACACCTAGCAACTCATGCCTGTGTCCAGAGGTGGCTAAACGCCCAACACCTAGCAACTCATGCCTGTGTCCAGAGGCAGCTAAACGCCCAACACCTAGCAACTCAAGCCTGTGTACAGAGGTGGCTAAACGCCCAACACCTAGCAACTCATGCCTGTGTACAGAGGTGGCTAAACGCCCAACACCTAGCAACTCATGCCTGTGTCCAGAGGCAGCTAAACGCCCAACACCTAGCAACTCAAGCCTGTGTACAGAGGTGGCTAAACGCCCAACACCTAGCAACTCATGCCTGTGTCCAGAGACAGCTAAACGCCCAACACCTAGCATCTCAAGCCTGTGTACAGAGGTGGCTAAACGCCCAACACCTAGCATCTCATGCCTGTGTCCCGAGGCAGCTTAACGCCAAACACCTAGCATCTCAAGCCTGTGTCTAGAGACAGCTAAACGCCCAACACCTAGCATCTCATGCCTGTGTCCAGAGGCAGCTAAACGCCCAACACCTAGCATCTCAAGCCTGTGTCTAGAGGCAGCTAAACGCCCAACACCTAGCATCTCATGCCTGTGTCCAGAGGCAGCTAAACGCCCAACACCTAGCATCTCAAGCCTGTGTCTAGAGGCAGCTAAACGCCCAACACCTAGCATCTCATGCCTGTGTCCAGAGGCAGCTAAACGCCCAACACCTAGCAACTCAAGCCTGTGTCTAGAGACAGCTAAACGCCCAACACCTAGCATCTCAAGCCTGTGTACAGAGGTGGCTAAACGCCCAACACCTAGCAACTCATGCCTGTCCAGAGGCAGCTAAACGCCCAACACCTAGCATCTCATGCCTGTGTACAGAGGTGGCTAAACGCCCAACACCTAGCAACTCATGCCTGTGTACAGAGGCAGCTAAACGCCCAACACCTAGCAACTCAAGCATGTGTCTAGAGACAGCTAAACGCCCAACACCTAGCATCTCATGCCTGTGTACAGAGGTGGCTAAACGCCCAACACCTAGCATCTCATGCCTGTGTCTAGAGGCAGCTAAACGCCCAATACCTAGCAACTCATCCCTGTGTCCAGAGGCAGTGAAACGCCCAACACCTAGCAACTCAAGCATGTGTCTAGAGACAGCTAAACGCCCAACACCTAGCAACTCAAGCATGTGTCTAGAGGCAGCTAAACGCCCAACACCTAGCATCTCAAGCATGTGTCTAGAGGCAGCTAAACGCCCAATACCTAGCAACTCATCCCTGTGTCCAGAGGCAGCTAAACGCCCAACACCTAGCAACTCAAGCCTGTGTCTAGAGGCAGCTAAACGCCCAACACCTAGCAACTCATGCCTGTCCAGAGGCAGCTAAACGCGCAACACCTAGCAACTCAAGCCTGTGTCTAGAGACAGCTAAACGCCCAACACCTAGCAACTCAAGCATGTGTCTAGAGGCAGCTAAACGCCCAACACCTAGCAACTCATGCCTGTCCAGAGGCAGCTAAACGCCCAACACCTAGCAACTCAAGCCTGTGTCTAGAGACAGCTAAACGCCCAACACCTAGCAACTCAAGCATGTGTCTAGAGACAGCTAAACGCCCAACACCTAGCAACTCAAGCCTGTGTCTAGAGGCAGCTAAACGCCCCATGTCCTAGCAACTCAAGTATGTGTCTAGAGACAGCTAAACGCCCAACACCTAGCAACTCAAGCCTGTGTCTAGAGGCAGCTAAACGCCCAACACCTAGCAACTCAAGCATGTGTCTAGAGACAGCTAAACGCCCAACACCTAGCAACTCAAGCATGTGTCTAGAGGCAGCTAAACGCCCAACACCTAGCAACTCAAGCATGTGTCTAGAGACAGCTAAACGCCCAACACCTAGCAACTCAAGCATGTGTCTAGAGACAGCTAAACGCCCAACACCTAGCAACTCAAGCCTGTGTCTAGAGACAGCTAAACGCCCAACACCTAGCAACTCAAGCATGTGTCTAGAGACAGCTAAACGCCCAACACCTAGCAACTCAAGCCTGTGTCTAGAGGCAGCTAAACGCCCAACACCTAGCAACTCATGCCTGTGTACAGAGGCAGCTAAACGCCCAACACCTAGCAACTCATGCCTGTCCAGAGGCAGCTAAACGCCCAACACCTAGCATCTCATGCCTGTGTACAGAGGTGGCTAAACGCCCAACACCTAGCAACTCAAGCCTGTCCAGAGGCAGCTAAACGCCCAACACCTAGCATCTCATGCCTGTGTCCAGAGGCAGCTAAACGCCCAACACCTAGCATCTCAAGCCTGTGTCTAGAGGCAGCTAAACGCCCAACACCTAGCATCTCATGCCTGTGTCCAGAGGCAGCTAAACGCCCAACACCTAGCAACTCAAGCCTGTGTCTAGAGACAGCTAAACGCCCAACACCTAGCATCTCAAGCCTGTGTACAGAGGTGGCTAAACGCCCAACACCTAGCAACTCATGCCTGTCCAGAGGCAGCTAAACGCCCAACACCTAGCATCTCATGCCTGTGTACAGAGGTGGCTAAACGCCCAACACCTAGCAACTCATGCCTGTGTACAGAGGCAGCTAAACGCCCAACACCTAGCAACTCAAGCATGTGTCTAGAGACAGCTAAACGCCCAACACCTAGCATCTCATGCCTGTGTACAGAGGTGGCTAAACGCCCAACACCTAGCATCTCATGCCTGTGTCTAGAGGCAGCTAAACGCCCAATACCTAGCAACTCATCCCTGTGTCCAGAGGCAGCTAAACGCCCAACACCTAGCAACTCAAGCATGTGTCTAGAGACAGCTAAACGCCCAACACCTAGCAACTCAAGCATGTGTCTAGAGGCAGCTAAACGCCCAACACCTAGCATCTCAAGCCTGTGTCTAGAGGCAGCTAAACGCCCAATACCTAGCAACTCATCCCTGTGTCCAGAGGCAGCTAAACGCCCAACACCTAGCAACTCAAGCCTGTGTCTAGAGGCAGCTAAACGCCCAACACCTAGCAACTCATGCCTGTCCAGAGGCAGCTAAACGCGCAACACCTAGCAACTCAAGCCTGTGTCTAGAGACAGCTAAACGCCCAACACCTAGCAACTCAAGCATGTGTCTAGAGGCAGCTAAACGCCCAACACCTAGCAACTCATGCCTGTCCAGAGGCAGCTAAACGCCCAACACCTAGCAACTCAAGCCTGTGTCTAGAGACAGCTAAACGCCCAACACCTAGCAACTCAAGCATGTGTCTAGAGACAGCTAAACGCCCAACACCTAGCAACTCAAGCCTGTGTCTAGAGGCAGCTAAACGCCCCATGTCCTAGCAACTCAAGTATGTGTCTAGAGACAGCTAAACGCCCAACACCTAGCAACTCAAGCCTGTGTCTAGAGGCAGCTAAACGCCCAACACCTAGCAACTCAAGCATGTGTCTAGAGACAGCTAAACGCCCAACACCTAGCAACTCAAGCATGTGTCTAGAGGCAGCTAAACGCCCAACACCTAGCAACTCAAGCATGTGTCTAGAGACAGCTAAACGCCCAACACCTAGCAACTCAAGCATGTGTCTAGATACAGCTAAACGCCCAACACCTAGCAACTCAAGCCTGTGTCTAGAGACAGCTAAACGCCCAACACCTAGCAACTCAAGCATGTGTCTAGAGACAGCTAAACGCCCAACACCTAGCAACTCAAGCCTGTGTCTAGAGGCAGCTAAACGCCCAACACCTAGCAACTCATGCCTGTGTACAGAGGCAGCTAAACGCCCAACACCTAGCAACTCATGCCTGTGTACAGAGGTGGCTAAACGCCCAACACCTAGCAACTCATGCCTGTCCAGAGGCAGCTAAACGCCCAACACCTAGCATCTCATGCCTGTGTACAGAGGTGGCTAAACGCCCAACACCTAGCAACTCAAGCCTGTGTCTAGAGGCAGCTAAACGCCCAACACCTAGCAACTCAAGCATGTGTACAGAGGTGGCTAAACGCCCAACACCTAGCAACTCAAGCCTGTGTCTAGAGGCAGCTAAACGCCCAACACCTAGCATCTCAAGCCTGTGTACAGAGGTGGCTAAACGCCCAACACCTAGCATCTCAAGCCTGTGTCCAGAGGCAGCTAAACGCCCAACACCTAGCATCTCAAGCCTGTGTACAGAGGTGGTTAAACGCCCAACACCTAGCAACTCAAGCCTGTGTCTAGAGACAGCTAAACGCCCAACACCTAGCATCTCAAGCCTGTGTACAGAGGTGGCTAAACGCCCAACACCTAGCATCTCATGCCTGTGTCCAGAGGCAGCTAAACGCCCAACACCTAGCATCTCAAGCCTGTGTCTAGAGACAGCTAAACGCCCAACACCTAGCATCTCATGCCTGTGTCCAGAGGCAGCTAAACGCCCAACACCTAGCATCTCAAGCCTGTGTCTAGAGGCAGCTAAACGCCCAACACCTAGCATCTCATGCCTGTGTCCAGAGGCAGCTAAACGCCCAACACCTAGCATCTCAAGCCTGTGTCTAGAGGCAGCTAAACGCCCAACACCTAGCATCTCATGCCTGTGTCCAGAGGCAGCTAAACGCCCAACACCTAGCAACTCAAGCCTGTGTCTAGAGACAGCTAAACGCCCAACACCTAGCATCTCAAGCCTGTGTACAGAGGTGGCTAAACGCCCAACACCTAGCAACTCATGCCTGTCCAGAGGCAGCTAAACGCCCAACACCTAGCAACTCAAGCCTGTGTCTAGAGACAGCTAAACGCCCAACACCTAGCATCTCAAGCCTGTGTACAGAGGTGGCTAAACGCCCAACACCTAGCAACTCATGCCTGTGTCCAGAGGTGGCTAAACGCCCAACACCTAGCAACTCATGCCTGTGTCCAGAGGTGGCTAAACGCCCAACACCTAGCAACTCATGCCTGTGTCCAGAGGCAGCTAAACGCCCAACACCTAGCAACTCAAGCCTGTGTACAGAGGTGGCTAAACGCCCAACACCTAGCAACTCATGCCTGTGTACAGAGGTGGCTAAACGCCCAACACCTAGCAACTCATGCCTGTGTCCAGAGGCAGCTAAACGCCCAACACCTAGCAACTCAAGCCTGTGTACAGAGGTGGCTAAACGCCCAACACCTAGCAACTCATGCCTGTGTCCAGAGACAGCTAAACGCCCAACACCTAGCATCTCAAGCCTGTGTACAGAGGTGGCTAAACGCCCAACACCTAGCATCTCATGCCTGTGTCCCGAGGCAGCTTAACGCCAAACACCTAGCATCTCAAGCCTGTGTCTAGAGACAGCTAAACGCCCAACACCTAGCATCTCATGCCTGTGTCCAGAGGCAGCTAAACGCCCAACACCTAGCATCTCAAGCCTGTGTCTAGAGGCAGCTAAACGCCCAACACCTAGCATCTCATGCCTGTGTCCAGAGGCAGCTAAACGCCCAACACCTAGCATCTCAAGCCTGTGTCTAGAGGCAGCTAAACGCCCAACACCTAGCATCTCATGCCTGTGTCCAGAGGCAGCTAAACGCCCAACACCTAGCAACTCAAGCCTGTGTCTAGAGACAGCTAAACGCCCAACACCTAGCATCTCAAGCCTGTGTACAGAGGTGGCTAAACGCCCAACACCTAGCAACTCATGCCTGTCCAGAGGCAGCTAAACGCCCAACACCTAGCATCTCATGCCTGTGTACAGAGGTGGCTAAACGCCCAACACCTAGCAACTCATGCCTGTGTACAGAGGCAGCTAAACGCCCAACACCTAGCAACTCAAGCCTGTGTACAGAGGTGGCTAAACGCCCAACACCTAGCATCTCATGCCTGTGTACAGAGGTGGCTAAACGCCCAACACCTAGCAACTCATGCCTGTGTCCAGAGACAGCTAAACGCCCAACACCTAGCATCTCATGCCTGTGTCCAGAGACAGCTAAACGCCCAACACCTAGCATCTCATGCCTGTGTACAGAGGTGGCTAAACGCCCAACACCTAGCATCTCATGCCTGTGTACAGAGGTGGCTAAACGCCCAACACCTAGCAACTCATGCCTGTGTACAGAGGTGGCTAAACGCCCAACACCTAGCATCTCATGCCTGTGTACAGAGGTGGCTAAACGCCCAACACCTAGCAACTCAAGCCTGTGTACAGAGGTGGCTAAACGCCCAACACCTAGCAACTCATGCCTGTGTACAGAGGCAGCTAAACGCCCAACACCTAGCATCTCAAGCCTGTGTACAGAGGTGGCTAAACGCCCAACACCTAGCATCTCATGCCTGTGTCCAGAGGCAGCTAAACGCCCAACACCTAGCAACTCATGCCTGTGTACAGAGGCAGCTAAACGCCCAACACCTAGCATCTCATGCCTGTGTCCAGAGGTGGCTAAACGCCCAACACCTAGCAACTCAAGCCTGTGTCTAGAGGCAGCTAAACGCCCAATACCTAGCAACTCATCCCTGTGTCTAGAGGCAGCTAAACGCCCAACACCTAGCAACTCATGCCTGTCCAGAGGCAGCTAAACGCCCAACACCTAGCAACTCAAGCCTGTGTCTAGAGACAGCTAAACGCCCAACACCTAGCAACTCAAGCATGTGTCTAGAGGCAGCTAAACGCCCAACACCTAGCAACTCATGCATGTCCAGAGGCAGCTAAACGCCCAACCCTTAGCAACAAGTGTACATGTTGTTTTGAAATCAGGATTACTCATGCCTGTGTCTAGAGACAGCCATACGTCCTTGGTCACCAACGCCTGCGTCGGACAACTTGATGGCTGCCGTGGCACAATAATTGTGTTCATAATATACTCAACCACAATTAAATAGTATATATTTCATAGCGATTGAATTTATATTTTCCTTTGCAAAAACATAAAACGTGCTAAGGAGATTTATGTGAAATGTGTTCCATGTGCATGTGTTTAAGGTTGACATAGCGAGCACCATGGCATCGCTACATACCCCATGGCCCAGGTCAATGGATCACGTTGACAGTGGAAATCACGTCCCCAAACAACGTGTGTGTAAGCCGCCTCATTGTACAACACGATCTTGTCTTCAGACAAAAAAACATAATTTGAGTTACTGAACTCACTAAAATCGTTCAGGTTGCAGGTATGCTCACCGTGTGTCGACCTGTTGCCAACGCTAAACGCCTTAACGGTACCTGAGCAACACTATATAGGTGACGAGACATTGAATGTTGCATCATCTTTGAAGTATTGTTGTGTCAAATGTCGCTTTCCCAGCCAAGGATCGGTATAAACCTATTGTCAACAACGCCATTGGATCGATAGGACGTTGAAGTCCGTGTTGTATAGCCGCTATGAACGGTTGACGCACTCTGTACTGATGTTCAGGTAACACGACAGTGTTGCTATGTTGCCTTATCGCCTCGTGGGTACCTGTGCTCTTAAGCATAGGTTAATCAGCTGTCACACCAGGGCTGCGTCCTCACGGCGATCCCGCGGCGTCAATGAAAAATGCGGAACGCCGAGGTGCGCGCAGTGGCATCTCCATTTGACGCGGTGGGGTCGCCCAGAACGCCATGCGACGGTGCGCACTGTGTGCATGCACAAAGTACGCGCCGTTGCTCTGCGTTCTGACATGCGCGCAGGTGGAACGCCGTAGGGTCGCCGCACCAGCGCAGTAAGGTGTCCTACAGCGCCACAGGAGCACCAAGGACGCACATGATCGCAGTACGGACGCTGTGGTAGTCGGCGGCGATTGCACGGAGACCTCACGGAGTCCATAGTGATGTCATTGCGTCTCTACCGCGTCCTAATGGCGATTCTACGGCGCCTACACGGAGTGTTATTTATTTAGTTGCGCTCAGACAGCGACAACACGGAGCTGCCACGGCGATCATTGCGCTCCCACGGGGCTTCTACCGCGCCCAGCAACCCGGGCTACTCCTCGCCTGCATGCATGTCCAGCAGGTCCAGGATGCAACGCTGTACACCTCATTCAGGGACGGAGACGGGGGAAGGCCCCAAGGCGCAGGAGGCTCTGGGTACGGCAGTGGCTGGACGTCGGCAGGAGGCTGCAGTATGGTCACTATCATCGGCTCATGCCTGATGGTGTTTGTATGCACTTCGCGCACGCAAACGAACGTTTTGGGCACGCCGTCAGCGCAGTATACGCGCCGTGTGGCTCTGTGGGAACGCGGTAGCACGTAGAAACGCCGTGACATCTCCATCTTGAGAAAGTTTTAGATAAAAGTGCAACTTTTTTCAGAATTTATCTGCGATCCCACGACGCTCTCAGAAAATTGACAACGCCGTGTCAACTCCGTGGAAACGCGGTAGAGTGTGACAGAGGTTTTACGAAACCCGGATATTAACGGGAGTGGAATCCTTCATATCTTTCCGATTGGAATCTCCTGCTCATTGATGAAAACACATTGTCCCTCCCCTCTAGGCAAAACATTAATCATTCCTTTTTAAGTGTAAGCTTTTCATTTTTGTTGGTATTGTTTACGTCTCTGGGGCTAATAAATGATATTTTGTTTGGGGCATTTCGTAGATAATTTCGCAAAAGTCATTGTTAACAATAGACTTCACTGAACTGCTACAAGGCATGTTTAACAACAAAACCAGAATGTGGCACATGAATAGGTATCAGTGTAATATTCTTTACTACGTGAGTCGTGAATACAATGTTATCGTATGGGGTAATACATAGTGCACCATAACATTTTCGTACATATTCGATACCGTTTTAATCCAGTACGACATATTTCAGACATGTTGCCACACGGTCAGACTAAAACAATCGCATATTCGCCATAACGCGAATGCATGTTGAGAGAATATGTCACTTTAAAACGTTTACCTATAATAACACAACATATAAACTTTGCTTTAAGTGATGCCTTTCTTATTCTTGAATTAGTTCCAAACAAACAGCTGTAGGTTGACAAGAATCACTCGCCCACGTGCGCGCGTGCTTGTGTAATCCACCCGTGTATGTGACAAATGCCGTAAAGCACTGTAGCTCACCGTGTAAGTCAAAACTGTTATAAGTGGAATGGTAAATTACATCCTAGATTGTCCAGTGTATCAAATTTCCATTCTATTTATTAGGGCAATCGAGGATGTTATTAAATGTTTTTTAAACCTTTATCACGGCATTTGGCAAAGTTTATCATCTCCACAAGCTTAAATTGGGATATTTTGAGAAGAAACGTGTCCCTCCATGTCACGATATAGTTTCTGTTAGCATTTTCTATATAGATATATATTTAAGGACAAAGCGGACAATTCTAAACATCATTATATAACAGCATAACGTAACTATATTAGCCATACTTCAACAATTTAACGTTTTAACAATGTTGAAAAGAAGTTGGCTCAAATAAAACTGAACATACCGTGCTGGCCATATTGAAACTAGAATCGAACCTCTTAAACAAATTCAGATGTCCACATTGGTGAGAATAAGATATGTTGGTTCAGCTTCAGTTCTCCAGTTATTTCTAAGTTGATAGTGTGTACAAAGCGAGGAATGCATTTTGAGGGAATTAATGGCCAACGTGCAAAGATAAAATAGAGCACAAAACGAAACAAGTGGCTTGGTTCACACTACTAACTACACCTGCATTAAGTTTCATTCTGTACAGCTTGAAAAAAATTAAATATGGCGTCATTGTTTCAATAATGTCTTAGGAAAATGTGTTTCCAGCCGATGACGGACAATGAAGAAGCATTTCATGATATAAGATCACTTGCAAAAGAAGTTTTTATTCTTTTCAATGCCATGATTTGTTCGGAACAACGGTGTTGTCCTACATATCCTACCAACATACCAGTCCTCTGAGCCTTTTGGTTTTCTGAGTGGTGTTCTGATTCTGCTGCCAAAGCAGGAACAATTCACATCAGGCGTTATCGTGTCCCATCATAAAGTCACAACCAGTCAGACAACCAGGTGCTTGTTTTGATCCAATATTTCCTTTAAGTCAGCAAGGTGGGGGAACCATATATAGTACACAACACACAATCTGACAATGAAGAAGTCGTTGAAGTGTTTCTACTTCCCTTTCGTCAATTTAGATTACATACTAAAGCCGCCATTTTTCCAAACCCGATACAGTGAGAACGAGCAATAAACTGCTTAACTAAAATCTGTAATATCGCCACTTCAATTTTTCTTGTGTATTGGAAAAAGGCTGTGACCAACATCGCCATATGTCTCATGTGCTGTATATTCGAACCACCAATAGGGGATGGTCACATCCTTATATTCAAGCAAAGAATGGTCGATAATACAATTCAGGGACGGCTACACACAGCAAAAGTTATTGAACATCTTCCAATAGCATCAACGATATTGTGCCATCATGATGAACACGGTCATTGTGACCAGGAGTGTCACAAGGAAAAAGACTGCAAAGAAAATTCGGTCGAGAAAGATTGCAACGTTCTTCCACAGAAGGGACTTCTCAGTTTTGGAACGCTCCCTGTCATCGCAGTACGGCTCCACTTCGCTGGTTGCTTTTGTAGTGAAGGACAACCAGTGATTGCACATTTTCCAGTCACACGACCCGACCTTGTAATGCAGGACGACAACAACGTGAGTTGCGATGACGCTGACAGAGCTGATGCTGATGAGGATGGCTAAATAGATGCTGAAGAGACAGGGGGATTCCGAGTTCGACGGGAGCGTCGTCGAG